AAAGGATTTCGGCTGCCATCTCTTCTGACTGATTAAAATCAAAGTCACATGTTTCTGTTCCCATACTCGCCATATGTTGGCCTCTATTACGCCTGTTATGCTGATCTTCCTCTCTGAACAAAGACTCTAAACGTCCTGCCTTGGATGCAAGACTTGCCAAATCCTCAACATCCAGGGCAGTGAGTGCCTTTCTTAAGCGAGTATGCATATTCCGGACCACTAAATTGGTCATCTCTTTCTCACTGATTACCGTAGGACATCGTCCCTTCATCAATCGCACCCTTTCTATAAATTGTGAAGCAGATTCTTCTGGATACTGCCTCAATTCCATTAAATCTGTTAAAGAAACAGTTGGTAAAGGATTGAAGAATCTAGCATGAAATGCCGTCTCCAGTCCTTCCCACGTCTGAATTTGTCCAGGAGGCAGACTTGCAAACCACGAAAACGCGGTTCTAGTAAGAGATAAGCCAAACAGTTGCAACTTATAAAAAGGGTTATTACCAACTTCTCCCAATTGTGCTGTGAACCGACCAACATGTTCTATGGTGGAAGATCCGTCCTCCCCTGAGAATGCATGAAAATCGGGTGGTCGATAATTCCTTGGGAGAGGGTGTTCATTAATGACCCTTTCTGGGAAAGGTTTCTGATATGCAGGGCGGTTAGCCATCTGAGGAGTTAATCCATACTGATCCCTTAATATATGTGCGATCTCGTCAGGATCTACATGAAAGCGTTGATGATCAGGAACATGGAACGCATCCTGCACAGGAATATGAATAGGATCATGTATATATCCTTCAGGCCTGTCCTCCCTTGTATTGCTCGGCTGCGGATTGGTAACCCTTGGTCCCAGTGGAACATTGTTGGGAAAAGTCAAAGGAGATTTTCCCCTATCCATTCGGTTGGGATTTGTGGCACTTGGGAATGTACTATCCACGAATGAAGGCCCTGCGAAATTTGCCTGTGGTCTGGACGGTGACACTCCCGGTGGCGTTTGAGTGGGTTGAAGACTAACCCTTGACAGTGCTTGATCTATCATGTTCTGCAACTGACTCTGTTGCTCACGCAACATGTTCGTTTGTTGCTCACGCAACATATTCTGCATAACCAAGGTATGCTGGTTGTTCATTTGTTGAACATAAGACCACCAATCAGTTGGTGGTTGTGGGATTTCCCCGGCATTTGGCACAATGGGTGGCGGAACGGATTCTCCCACCGGTGCCGAAGATGCTTGCGGTTGTGAACCTGCCATAACCCTTCCGATGATTCGGCCGGATCTAAGACGTATGAAATTATCGCCGGAATTGGAATGAGCAATTGTGTCTTGCTCCCACTGTGGTCGCCAATTTGTTGATGTAATTTTTCAACAAAAATAAAGTAAAATTCAAAGATATAGAAAATATCCTTAAACTTGATTAATTAGTGCCTGAGATTAGGAATCTCTAAACACTGTACGGTACAAAAAATAAACTGGAAAATAAAAGACTGAAATTTAAAGTGGTGATCCCCAAATCTGACTTTGCTTTGTTGAAGTTGATTGAAGATTCCTTGCCAAATGATGATCCAAATCCTTAAATATTCCCTGGGAAACCGTACTGAAAACCGTCACCCGAACGGTTACAACGTCTCCTTCTCAACCGTCTTCCAACCTTTCTCATGCTGACACGTGTCCCCAGCAGACCAAAATTCCCTATATTTCACTCCTTGAGCCGACCACAGACCTTCCGCTCTTTTGGCCCGACTTCGTCCTTCGTCCGACCTACTTCTTCGCCCGACCCCACTTGGGCCGACCTCCATATCAACCGCCCCCTGTCTTTGATCAAAGGCCTCCGCGTCTGTCCGTACCTCTTCCTTGCCCGACCTTCCTCTTAACAGACCTCCGCGTCTGCCCGACTTCGGTCTGGATTTGGATCAATTCTTGAGATCTTAACTTTCTTCCTTTTCCCGACCTGAAAGCCTCCCGACCTGCGGACTTCCCGTCCTGATGACTTTCCGCCTTGAGGAACTCCCGACCTGAAGACCTTCCGACTTGAGGTCCTTCCGTCTTGAGGACCTACCGACCTGAGATCCTTCCGACCTGAGGTCTTTCCACCCTGAGGTCCTTCCATCTTGAGGACCTACCGACCTGAGATCCTTCCGACCTGAGGTCTTTCCGCCCTGAGGACCTTCCGTCTTGAGGACCTTCCGTCTTGAGGACCTTCCGTCTTGAGGACCTACCGACCTGAGGACCTACCGACCTGAGATCCTTCCGACCTGAGGTCCTTCCGTCTTGAGGACCTACCGACCTGAGGACCTTCCGGCTTGTATTTTCCTTAGAAATAAATCTATTTTCCTTGATTTCCTCACAGTGTCCTTCAGCCAGTTCAATTAACCCTATTGCCAGGCCCATTCTTCTTTTTACCTTGGGCTTTTAACCTAATTCTAAATTTCGTACGTAACAAAAGTATTTATTATTTTTTTTTAGTAATTATAGTATCTATATAACATTATAAATATCTTTTCAATTTACAATATATTACAGAAATGTCATTACTTTTATATTATACAATACTAATAGGGTTAGTTTTGTCTTTTTATCTTTATTTCTATTTTATCATAATATAATACTAATATTTTTAAAATTTCGTGCAAATAGCAAATAAATATATAAATATGAGATGAATAGAGTATTTTTAATCTCTCAATCATTGGTCCAACGATCCAAATGGCTGCAAAAGCCAAGTACTTACTTCGTGAACACTTGTATTTCGTATCAAGATCTTTCCTCATTCCGTAAGAGATAGTTTAGTGGAATGGAGTGCACTCATGACTATGAAGTTATGGGTTTGAACCCCTATGCCTTCAGATTATTTGTCACACATGGTTTAGATTCGACCAAAAATTTACATTTATTTTGTCAATGAATGAGTTAATTTAGTTAATAATTTAATTATATGAACTCACTCCCTTAAAAAGTATTCGTTGTCCATAACCCATTATAACCTTTCTGACCAAACGGAAACAATAATAGAGGCGTCTGAATTCAAATTTACAATTTCGAAATAAAACAGAATCAAATATTTAAGAACAAATTAACCAAATTTCAAAAAGAAAAATAGATATTGTTCAAGAACAACATATCGAACAGAGATGAAGGCAAACTCCGGCAATCGACACCCATGAGAGAATTTTATAATTTTATGTTATTTTGTCCAAAAAATATATTTACTAAACACAGTTAATATTCTCCGCATGCTCTTGTTCATTGAAATGTTTTTTGATCCAATTTATTGTTTTCTTTAGATAGATTTATTCATATTTGCTTCTATTTTATTTTTCAATTGAACAATGATTTTACAATTATAAGTTTACTCTTCATATCATGGCATCTTTTACAGGATTATCTATTTTTTATTTTTATTTCTTTTATGACGTGGGAATCCGTAGTCAATACCCGAAAGTGTGCATTGGGTAAACCCTCGGTCGAACCTAATACCCTGCAAATCAGGCTCGACGAAAAAGACACACTAGGCAAACCTTGTGTAGCAAGTGATTTGAGGCGCAAGGGGTTATCTATTTTTCATTATACGAAATATATGTAATGCTTTATTTGCATAATATCATTGCAAATACATATGAAAAATAAAAGTACTATATAATGATATAGTTGTTGCTCTAGAAGATAGTTATGTTAAGAACAAAATTGTGTGACATAAATATGACTATGTTTAATTCATAATAAAAAATTGAACAAGGGTGTGTTAAATCAACACGAGGGTGTTGTCTGTTGTGAAATTTAGTTACTTTTTAAAATCATTTTAATAGGACAATGTTTAAGCAAACACACGTTTCTCGTAAGTGATGACCTAGTGATATAGTGTCGACCTAATTTGCAGGATATATAATGATACCTTACAAAAAAATCGATATACCAAATCATTTGTACGATATCATTATATACCAATAAATACCAAAATATCGATATAAATCAAAATATCGAAAAATATATTCATTTTGTTTACATTGCATTTTTTTTCGGCACAATTATCTATAAATATTATTTTCAAAATACAATATATATACATATATTAACAAATTATACATATATATATTATTTATTCATAAAAGCAAATTTTTAATATAAAATATTATTTTTTTATATTACCGATACAATTTTTCATATTTAACATCAAACATAAAAAATAAATTTATGAGAAAAGCACTAAGTGAACAAATCGATTGTATACCATAAATATTAAATTATATAATGTTATCATACCGAAAAATTATCATACTAAATTTCGATACTTACAATATTTTTTTTATATATGCATATACTCTATTCGTCCCATAACTATGTATCTGTTTGCTTTTTAGAAATATTAATATTATATTAGAATATAGTAGGAATAAAATAGAAATAACTAAAATAGCCTTATCAGTATTGTGTAATATAAAAGTAACACATTGTGTAATATATTTTAAATTGTAAAAGTATTTGTAATGTTAGTAGATGTTATCGTTATTAAAAAATAAAATGAATACTTTGTTATGGAGATACTGAGGGAGGGACTAAAATATTTCGATCATTTTAGTATTCTTTTTTCCTAGAATTACTGGCCCGGTTAACCTATGTGAAGTAGTAAAAGATACGGATAAAATATATTTTATTTTTAAATTAATTGTTAGCAACCTTACTCATATATTTATTACTAAAAAAACCACTCTATATGAATAAATAAAAAACATCCTTAAGCTACTAATCAGAAGTTACGTAGGAGTACTACTAAGCACATTACAATGTAATTTAAATTCATATAAACAGTCACATGGTTGGATAAGATAAGCTTTGTTTATTTTAAAATAATCACATTATGAATTAATTAAGAGTATAAAATTAAAATAACAATAAAATATTAATTAATTAATAATAATAATAATAAATCTTGAAAAGATTCCAATTAAACTCAGACCACAGTGGTTATACTTAACCCTAAAAAGACCCCCAAATTGGGCGAGTATACATAATTGGAAAGAAGCAGGTGGGATCAAAGACGCAGCAGCAGCAGCTCTTGTAGGAGTAGCAGCAGAAGAAAGGCATCATCTATTACAAGATTAAGCAGAGTATTTCGAGGTCTAATTATCCATCTAATGGCGGATTCTTGATCCAATTTGGATTTCCGCAATACAAAATACATATATAATAGAATTATATATATATAAATTCCATGGCCGGAGGTACACCGCAGCATTCGCTAATCTAATCTTATCTCCTGACTGACGACGGGTTTCACTTTCTTCCTCAAAAATCCCAACCCTCGCAGCGCCACCATCTCCATCGCCTCCTCGTCTCCAATCTCTGCGCGGCGGCGGCCGATTGCGCGATAAAAAGACGAATCTTTTTTATCCAATCGGGTCATGTACCAAATCCGATCCGTTTAGTCGGCGTGTTCGAGGGCTCCGATTGAAGAAATGACGAGGAGATGCTCGCATTGCAGCCACAACGGGCATAATTCGCGGACGTGTCCGAATCGAGGGGTGAAGCTTTTTGGAGTTCGATTGACTGATGGCTCGATCCGGAAGAGCGCTAGTATGGGTAATCTGTCGCAGTATATGTCCGGCGGCGGCGGCGGTAGCGGCGGTGGTGCTCAAAACGGCGCCGTCCATGGAGACTCTCCGGCCGATACTCCCGACCATCCATCGGCCGACGGTTACGCTTCCGAAGACTTCGTTGCTGGATCGTCTTCCAACCGTGAGAGGAAGAAAGGTTTTCAGTTCTTAATCTACAGATTTTTCAGTTCTTAGGTTTTTTGTTCAATTGACTGGTTTTGGTTCAATTGAAGTATGAATTGAAGAAGTATTTCATAATCTGATAAAATCTTATGTACTAATCTAAATCTTACCATGTTTCTTTCCCTGATCATTAGCTCAATCGATTCAAGTTATATGCACAGCCTCTGGTTTGATCAAGTTCTTTCGATTAATTCTGCTTCAGCAAGTGTTAATGGTGTTTCTACATTTCTGTAAATGATTTTAATGACCACTGTGTGTAGCTATTGAAAATGGTGAATTCTTTGTTTGAAATTCTCGGTTGTTTTTTAAGGTGTTCCATGGACGGAGGAGGAGCATAGGATGTTTCTACTAGGCCTGCAAAAACTCGGAAAGGGAGACTGGCGCGGCATTGCGCGGAACTATGTAATTTCTAGGACGCCTACTCAGGTGGCTAGTCATGCCCAAAAGTACTTCATAAGGCAAAGCAACGTGTCGAGAAGGAAGAGACGGTCGAGTCTCTTTGATATCGTGGCTGATGAAGTAAGCTTCCTTTTTAGTTTCTTGAAAACAGGAATATGTCAGGCCGATGAATCATATTTGCTTAACTGATTTTTGTCAGGCCAAATATTATCCAATCTGAATTTTAATATTTGAAAGATCGATTAAATATATTGGATATGTTGTTAGAATATTCTCTTCCTACGATTTCTGCAATAATGATCAGAGCGGGCATATATGGTGTGGTTTTAAAGTGTGTTATTTAGTTATACGTACGGTATCTGGTTTTCTATTACGGTAATATCATAGCAGGTTGTATCATGTGTGTATATATATGTATGTATATATATGTATATACTGTGGCTTAAAGATGCTATTTCTTTTTCTTACTAATGGAGTTGATATTAGGTCGAATTGGTCTGTGTATTTCTGCTTGTCCCACCAAGTTTGAGTTTTGGAGCCATTGTAGATATATCCGAGCGTTGCTTTATAATTAGGTTATCATGAAAGAGCTTGAAACATGTTATGGTATTCTTGTTGTTTCTTTAGTCAAATTAATGATGTTCCTAGTCGGTCTTTTATAGTGCAACTACTTGTATCTCTGAAATGATGGCTTGATTTTCGTTTTTATCGTATATTTGTTACTTTTCAATGCTTGGATACAGTAAGGTGACTCTAACTAAATTTCCTGTTAGCTCTCTGCCTTAAAGAATGTGCTTGGTTTGTGGTTGTGGTTGTGTTAGTGTTAGTGTTTGTATTTATATTTTTCTTTTTTTGCTTATATAGTGGTTGTTTGTGATGTTTTTGTGATAAAATAGCGTAGTTTTATAGAAAATCGTAGTGATTACATAGTAAAATATTGTGACACCTTTTCTATTCTAACACTTGAGTTTTGTTCTAAACCTTACAATAGTTCTGTGACTTCTTTTTTTTTTTTTTTAAATTCTCTATTCTGCCATTTTATTTTCGTTCTGTAGATAAGAAAGAAGGTAGTCTGTAGTGGTCTTAAGCTCAGTGTTATTGACCGTTTTGTACTGTACAACGCCAAATAGATATCCATGTCCTATTTTCAACCACTCACATTGAATGTCATCCTTTTTACCCAGTTGAAACAACTCTCGCCATTTGAACCTTGAATGGCTTGAGTCTGAATGTGAGTTAGAAATATTTAGTTTTGTGCTACTTACTCGTCTCTAAATTATAATTGTGCTCTGCCCCTGCCCGATTTTGATTTGCTTCATTGTGATATATTGGTTCCAAATAGTGTTAAATCTTCCATTTTTTTGTTTTATTTTTCCGATTTCCGCTTTAACTATATTCATCGATGATAATGCCTAAATGATTAGATTATCTTCGCTTAAAGGTATTAAGACTGGTTTTCATAGTTAAATAAAGCCCTTCTTATATGAATGTTTCATAGCATTTTGAGGTTTATCGGTCTTACCGTATGTTCTTGTATTGATGTGGTACTAATTCTCTGCTGAAATATTGAGCTAATGAAGCCATTGTCGATTCTGTAGGGTTTTTACCAAACATAGGTTCTGTTCTTTGGAATTTCTTCATTTTTACAAATTTGAGAATCTCGTCCTTAGATTTTTCTTGCACAATGTTTCTCGACCAGTTTACTGAGCAGGCTGTCTGAATGATAACTCAAGAATGCAACTCAAAATGGAGTCTCAAAATGCATTATCTCATGTTGTGGTTTCATCGTTTGGTATTGTTTGCCGCACTGACAATGTTGCATAAACTGCTGTGTTTGTGTCGTAATAGTCTTGTAGATGTTACCTCTGAAATCAAGTTTAAACTATATCTTTAGATCACCATTTTTATATGTTCGATTTATGTAGTTCGATTTATGCTGTTTGTGTTCTTGAATTAAACCTAATTTCCTTATTGTCTTACCTATTGTGCAGTCTGTCGATCTTCCCATAGAATCCCGCGACTTTCTCCCCCTGAATCCGCTGCCAGCCGAGGCACAAACCAGCCCTCCCGTCCCACCACCAGCCGTGGACGAAGAAAGCGAGTCGATGGAATCTGCCAGCTACAACAACGACAACGAAACCATTCCCGCAAACCCAGACGGCGCCCCGCAATACCCATTCCCCGTCATCTATCCCGCGTACGCGGCCCCATTCTACCCGGTGTCGATCCCAATATGGGCAGGGTACAACGCAGACCCGCCCCCCAAGGAAGAAACTCACGAAGTCGTGAAACCTACCGCCGTCCACTCAAAGAGCCCGATCAACGTCGACGAGCTCATCGGGATGTCCAAACTAAGCCTGGGCGAATCACTCGGTGACGCCGGCCCCTCGACGCTCTCGCTCAAACTAGCTGAAGGCTCGGCACGACCGTCCGCTTTCCATGCCAACCCGGCTCCCGACAGGTCGGAAATAAACTCGGCGGCGACGGCGACAACGGCGACTACTCATAATCAAATTCATGCTGTCTAGAGAAGGAATCGAAGTATGGTATGGACGGTTTGAAGATGTGTCTGTTAATAGAAAATTAGCAGTTAGAGTGAGAATGGAGTGTCTCTATTAGTAAGTTATGAATCACATCTGATCTGTTGTTCTTGCTAGAGATTCCTTCAATAACTACATTTGATATATATATATATATGTATGTAACTTTGTGTTAGGCCATTAGAGCATCTTCTTGCCTAAGACCTGTAGACAACATAAAAAATGCTCTTTGTCAGAAATTTTATTGAATCTTTTTTCATATTTCAACTATCATGAAATTTTGTTTTTTTATATTTTTAAAAACATTGCATAAAAATATTGAGTGTATTTCTTTGTGGGTTTCGATTTTTTAATTTGGTTAGTTTGTTTGATATGGATATAAATAGAGGTTGATGTGATATTTTTAATGTAAAATTAATTTGTAATATAATAAAAAAAATATTTTATATGATATTTTTGAACGAAAAAAGAATCTGATAAAAATATAAAAAGTGTCATACAATTTTGAATTATATTTAAAATTTTGTTATTAAAATTTGTTATAATAGTATTTAGACAACTTGATAGAAAAAAATACATATAAATTTTACAAATATCAAATCTAATATTAAAACTTTATATTTATAATTGATTTATATTCAAATTATAATGTTTTGAATACGGATATTGAAATTTCGAATATTCGAATACAATTTTTTGATCATTTACAATCCTAATAAGTAGGGACTGAATTATACTTTTGAATTAACCGAGGGGCTAAAAATAAAATTAAAATTACGGATTTAAATTTATTATTTTTTTGAATTAGTATAAATACCTGTTCGTTACGAATATGCAAGTATGCAACGGATACACAGAACTCACACTGCATTTTTTCATCTTCACTTCCAACTGTCTCCATTTTCGAAATCTTTGCTCCTCCTCGCAATGTACCGTTGCTTGTTTCGCCATGAGTAATCATCCGGAGTCTTCTGAGTCGTGAGTCGCTATTTGTTGATGAATCGCATCTATTTTCTTGGTTTACAATGAAGTAATCTGACGGAATTTCTTTACTTTCTTTTGAACAGAAAGGGAGGCAAAAAGGACTTCTCGACGGCGATCTTGGATAGGAAAAAGGCTCCGAATCGCCTGATTGTTGATGAAGCAGTTACCGATGATAACTCTGTCGTCTCGCTCCACCCTACGACCATGGAGAAGCTCAAGTTTTCCCGTGGAGATACAATTTTGGTTAAGGTAATACCACTCTTCTGAAGCTTCGCCTCTTGATTTTTAAATTTCCTTCTTCTATTCGAAGTTAGGGTTCTTATGATTTTCTAATGTCCTTTTAAGTGGTTAGAATGTGTGCATGTTAAGCTAATCGTTTAATTTTCGATCACTGGTTAAGGCATATTTACGTGAAATTCGATATTGGCATACAGTCAGATAGTGCATATTCTTTTATGTGAAAACTAGAACTGATATTGAATGTGGAAATATTCTGGTTCAATCACAATGTAATATACACTTTGGTGTGATGGAAACTCAAGGGGAAGAAAAGAAAGGATACAGTATGCATTGCTTTTGATGATGAGTCATGTGAAGAACCAAAGATAAGGATGAACAAAGTTGTAAGGTCGAATTTGAGGGTTCATCTTGGCGACATTGTATTTGTGCACCAGTGTCCTAATATCAAATATGGAAGCCGCGTGTTTATATTACCAATTGACGACACAATAGAGGATCTCACTGATGATCTTTTTGATGGTTTTGTTAAGCGTAAGTCTAATCTTCCATCTTTAATTGAACCTTTTAACCTTGGATTTTTTATTTTTTATTTTCTTGTACTCTTTGCAATCATTGGTTTTCTTGTGCAGCTTACTTCTCTGAAGCATATCGCCCTGTGAGAATGGGGGATCATTTTCTCGTTAGAGGGGAGATAAGAAATGTGGAATTTAAAGTTATAATGACTGATCCTGCAGAGTATTGTATTGTTGCTCCTGATACTGAGATAGTCTGTGAAGATGAGCCTTTGAAGAGAGAAGATGAGGATAGGCTGGATGAGGTTGGCTATGACGATGTGGGTGGCATTAGGAAGCAAATGGCTCAGATTCGAGAATTGGTGGAATTACCACTGAAGCGCCCTCAACTTTTCAAATCAATTGGTGTGAAACCTCCCAAAGGGATTTTGCTTTATGGACCTCCTGGTACTGGTAAAACCTTGATCGCCAGAGCTGTTGCCAACGAAACCGGTGCATCCTTCATTTTGATTAATGGACCAGAAATAATGTCCAGCCTGGCTGGGACGAGTGAGAGCAATTTGAGAAGTGCATTTGAGCAGGCTGAAGACAATGCCCCATCAATTATTTTTATTGATGAGATTGATTCGATTGCACCCAAGCGAGAGAAGAGCCATGTTGAAGTAGAAAAGAGGGTTGTTTCTCAGCTTTTGACACTAATGGATGGGTTAAAATCTCGTGATCATGTCATTGTTATTGGGGCGACTAATTGTCCCAACAGCATTGACCCTGCTCTCAGAAGATTTGGAAGGTTTGATAAGGAAATAGACTTTGGTGTTCCTGATGGGGTCGGGCGCCTTGAAGTTCTTCATGTTCATACCAAAAACATGAAACTCTCTGATGATGTTAGTCTTATGCCTTGTTTATACACACACATATATACCTTGTTTTCTTGCTGTCGATCAAGTTCAAGTTCATTGGGGACAATTATACAAATGCAGGTTGATCTAGAAAGAATATCGAAAGACACACATGGCTATGTTGGCGCTGACCTTGCCGCCCTGTGCACTGATGCTGCACTGCAGTGCATTAGAGAGAAAATGGAGATCATTGATTTGGAAGACGATTCGATCGATGCTGATGTAGTAAATTCCATGGCAGTTACCAATGATCACTTCCACAATGCTCTTAGAGCAAGCAATCCTTCTGTTTTAAGGGAGACTGTAAGTGAACTTATGTTTGATCCAGCATGCGATCATGTGGTTTTCATCTTAAGGGAAAATATGTTTGTTATAATTATCTTAACCAATCAACAGGTTGTTGAAGTACCCAATGTTACCTGGGAAGATATCGGAGGACTTGAAAATGTCAAAAGGGAACTTCAGGAGGTAATCTAAACAAACTATTTTGCTCTAACATATTTCACAAAGTAAGGTTGCTAATTTCTTCGATACGTATGCCTTAGACTGTACAATATCCGGTGGAACATCCTGAGAAGTTCGAGAAATTTGGTATGTCGCCTTCGAAGGGTGTTCTGTTATACGGCCCTCCCGGATGTGGCAAAACTCTACTCGCCAAGGCCATTGCAACTGAATGTCGAACCAATTTTATAAGTGTTAAGGGACCTGAACTGCTCACAATGTGGTTTGGAGAGAGTGAAGCTAATGTTCGGGAAATATTCGACAAGGCTAGACAGTCGGCTCCCTGTGTACTCTTTTTCGATGAGCTCAACTCCATTGCCACACAGGTTAAGTCCTATTATAAGTTACTTCCACCCTCCATCTTCATGGTGAATGTTTGTATTATCTTAACTAATCTATATTTTGTTTTTCTCTATATGTTTTAAAGTACCTACTCGAAGAATTCAACTATTAATCGACACATTTAACATTTGTGAGTAATGATCCTTCTTGGTGTTGCTGCAGAGAGGAAGCAGCGCTGGAGACGCCGATGGTGCTGCTGATCGAGTTCTTAATCAACTACTCACAGAAATGGACGGCATGAACGCAAAAAAGACTGTTTTCATAATGGGGGCAACCAATAGGCCTGATATAATCGATCCAGCACTTCTACGTCCAGGCCGTCTCGATCAGCTAATCTATATCCCTTTGCCAGATGAAGACTCGCGCCATCAAATCTTTAAGGCCTGCCTTCGAAAATCGCCTCTTTCCAAAGATGTCGATCTTCGGGCTCTTGCCAAGTACACTCAAGGATTCAGCGGAGCTGATATCACAGAAATATGCCAAAGGGCTTGCAAATACGCTGTAAGGGAGACGATTAAGAAAGTACGTCTCCTCGTCCTCCTTTTCTGCTTATATTATGCTTATCGTCTACGTACAAGATTCGTATCCCTTTCAAGTTTAAAAGCTTTTAGGTGTGAGGACATTGATAGGTATGTTTGTTTTTCAGGACAAAGAAAGGGAAAGTCGAAAAGTCGAAAATCTCGACTCCATGGACGAAGACATTGAGGACGAGATCCCGGAGATCAAGCCTGCACATTTTGAGGAGTCGATGAAGTATGCTCGTAGAAGTGTTAGTGATGAGGATATACGTAAGCACAAGGCGTTTGCCCAGACCTTGCAACAGTCCCGGGGATTCGGAACTGAGTTCCGTTTCCCCGAGACTTCCGGCGCTGCTTCTGCCTCGGACCCATTTTCCGCGTCTGCCGGCGACGGCGACGATCTGTATAGGTAAATGTCAGGTAAGGAATGGCTTTCCCTAATACTCCTTATTGTTGTTGGCCTTTGGATTTAGATTTTTACATTAGGAAGGATGTGTATAGTGTAAGTAGGAATGCATATATAACAACCTTTGATATACATACATATACGTGTATATATATATATATGTCAACTAATCGATCATTCACAAATTGGTTTTGTGATTGATGTATATTGAAATCACGATCAATATCCTATCTAAAATAGTTAACTATGACTCTGATACTATGTTAAAAGAAATCTAGGACACCATATTGGCGATAAACAAAGCATAAGAGTAACATCGTCAATTTCTACTTCACCATGGCTCTTCCCTAGCTTAGGTGCTATTGATCGAATCAATTTCGTCAATAAAAATAATTTGATCGGTAAAAGATGACAAAATGGACTTACACTTAACAAAAATGCATCAAAAAGATCACAAGTGAGACCCTCTATTGTGTCGTCGATTGCTAAGATAAACACACACTTTCCATATTTGATATTAGGACAATGGTGCATAGATATAATGTCGCCAAGATGAGCCCTCGAATTTTTTATTTAGGCTCGTCGAGGCATAGATATATGTATATAATGAGAGAAAGATTGTGAAAGAGAAAGAGGGGAGAAAAAATATGTAAAAGTAAAACAATCTAATTAAATCTTCATAATATGTAAAAGTAAAATAATCTAACTAAATCTAAATAATATTACTTTGTTAAATCTAAATAATATTATTTATGTAAAATTCTACTAAAATCTGATAATTTAGGATTAATTCCGATAAATTTATCCCTACAACCTTGTCCATCTTTATCTTTGGTTCTTCACTTGACTCATCAGCAAGGATGCAATTATGATGTGAATAATATCGAATATTTAAATTCAATTTTTTTATTTTTTGTTGTCGTTTAAAATACTTTTCGATGATTTATCGAAATAAGTCAGCCAAAATTTGGATGAATTCTACGTTTTCTTCCAAAAATAATTGAAGAAAAAAAAAATGAAAAAATGGAAAAATAAGAAAATAATAAAGATAATAAATGCAAGCAAAGTGGAAAAAAAAAAAAACAAAAACAAAAAGTGCATGAAGAAGAAATAAAGAAAAATAAATAAACTAGGATGGAAGGAAAGACAAAGAGATAAACGACATAAAAATTAAAATTGATGTGGGAAGAAAGAGAGAGGAAATTGTGGTTAGTCTATTAATCTATTTATACTACTACTCCAAAATTATTAATTTCAGATAGGTTCTTCGACTTTTTCCAAAAAGAATTTGCAATCGTATTTGAAAAAGAAAATAATAGAAGGAAAAAGAAAATAAAAAAATAATAAATGCAAGCAAGGAAGGTGAATGAAGAAGAAAATAAAGAAAAAGAAATAAACTAAGTTGGAAGAAAAAACAAACAGAGAAACTGTATAAAAATGAAAATTAACATGGGAGGCTGTCTTTTACTCTATTTATATTACTACCAACCAAATTTATATTTGAATTAAAACTTTAGTTTATCTAAATCTAATATTGGTTGGGTTCTCCTACCCTCTCTAAAAAATCCAAAAAAATAAATGAAAAGGTAGAAAAATAAATAATAATAATAATAAAAATAAAAATAATAAATGCAAGCAAAGCACGGAAGCAAAAGGTGCATGAAGAAGAAAATAAAGGAAAATAAACAAACTAAGCTGGAAGAAAAAGACAAAAGATAGAAACCGTACAAAAATTAAAATTAGTGCAATTAAAATGGTCGTGGAAATGGAGAGAAATTTATACTAGTAGCTACTCAATTTAAATTATGTTAAAACTTTATTTTATCCAAATCTATTAATATTGTACTCAATTATCTAAAATCAAATAATATAGTTAAAATTCAAATTTTGAACCAAGCACATTATTTATATATTTATTATTACATCTAATAAAAACATAAGTATAAGTCATAGCAATAAACACGAGAACGAAAGGCGAACATACAAAATAGCTCCACACACAAACACACAAATACTAAATATAAGAGCAAAGAAAAAACATGTGGTAAATCATAAATACCTTAAGCACAACAAATCCAAAATCCAACTCAAATTTCTCTTGGCCAAGCTCATGTACAAAATAAATACACACTCGCGCATTCACATTTCTACCAAAAACCCAAAACCAAAAACTAACTAAAAAACACCACACACTACATTCTTTTTCTAGTGTACTAAACCAAATCACAAGATCGAATCAAGAACATCGAGATCGAATCAAGATCGACCAAGATCGATGATTACTTGGGGAGATGTATACAAGGTAGTGTCGGCCATGGTGCCGCTCTACGTCGCGCTCGGCCTAGGCTTCCTCTCGATCAAAGGATGGCGAATGTTCGAAATCGAGCAATGCAACGGTATCAACCGATTGAATTGCTATTTCGTCGTCCCTTTCTTCAATCTCAAATTCACCTCTTCAATCAATCCCTACAACATGAGCCTTCGCTACATTGCGAGCGACGTCGTCGCCAAGGCCATCTTCGCCACGGTGTTAATCGTGTGGGTCACCACCTCCAAAAAGGCCTCCGCGTCGTGGGCAATTACGACTTTCTCCCTCGCGTGCTTGAACAACACCCTCGTCCTCGGCGTCCCCTTGCTCAGCGCAATGTACGGACCGGCCGGGAGAGATCTCGCCATCACGTCGCAGGTCATGCAAACTCTCATTTGGTTTCCTACTCTTTTGTTTTTGTTGGAGTTTCAATACGCTAAAACCGCGGCTAGACCCGCCGCTTTGGATCCTCCGAGTCGAGATCAACCGCCTCATGTCGTCGTGGAAGTTGGACCCGACGCGACAAACGCCACAACAACAACAACAACAACGAATAATAGTAATGTCCAAAACACGGCAAGCGAGAGTAATGTCCAAAACACGGCGACCCAGAGTAATGTCCAAAACACAGCAACCCAGAGTAATGTCCAAAACACGGCAACCCAGAGTAATGTTCAAAACACGGCGAGCCAAAGTAATGTCCAAAACACGGCAAGCCAAAGTAATTTGTCAACGATTTTGAAGAAAGTTTTCTTGAAGCTCGCGGCGAACCCGAATTCGTATGCTTGTCCCATTGGCCTCACTTGGGCTTTTTTGGCGCAGAGGTAGTATAATGTTAATATTTGTTAATACTCGTAGTTAATATTCGGTTTTTTTTTTTTTTTTTAACTTCACGTATCGAGAAATGAATGATTTACCGTGTAAAAGGTTTGATATCGAATTACCAACCCTCGTACAAGGTTCGATTATGATTATGGCCAATGCCGGAAGCTGCTTAGCAATGTTCTCTCTCGGTACGTATCTTTCTCAATAGGCTATCGCTAAGTTAAACATCATATGTTGTGTAAATTGAAATCATTAAAGTTTATTATTCGATGGTTAATCTAATGTTCGAAGTTTGTTTACTTACTATTCTTAGTTGTTGCTAAGCAATGCTGATTTTTTTTTTTTCCAATCAACATGTTTCGACAAGATTAAGGATATGTTTACGATACATTGCTAATTAAGCTCTGTTTTATTTAGACTTTTGGAGTTTAAAAAAATAAAATTGAAAACAATAATATTTTAATATTTGATGTGATATTTTTAAAAAATTTATTGTTAAATAAAATGTTAAAAACTCCAAAAATATCTATGTAAATAGCCTTAATGTTTTAGCATTTCTTTGTAGGAATTTTTATGGCGTTGCAAGAGAAGGTAATATCATGTGGCATAAAGCGTGCCGCGTTCGCCTTGGTTTTGAGATTTGTGGTCGGGCCACTTGTTATGTTCTCAAGTTCTCTCGCCTTAGGCTTGAGATCCAACATTCTTCGAGTAGCAATCATGACGGTAAATAATATTAATATTTCTCGTATGATACATAGATTAAACAGTATCTTGAGGAAAACATCCTATAGTACAATTGATAGATTGTAAAATAAGACAGTAAAATATTCATAATTTTACTTCAAGAGTAAGGATATTTTACTATTATGTAAGGACCACAATTATTAAATTAAAAAATTGATATATTGATTGTAGATAACTCAAAATGATAAAAACAAACTCATAAAATCTCATTGTTCACTCCAGGCAGCTTTACCACAATCGATTTTATCGTGTATCATCGCTCAAGAATACAACGTCAACCCTACTGTCCTCAGCACAGCGTAAACTTTTAATTTTTTTAATCTTAGTATTTTTCTTGAAAATACCTATCTTTCGATCGAAGTATTCATTACTAATTCATTATTGCTTATCTTTATAGGGTTATCTTCGGCATGATCATATCGCTCCCGCTCTTGATTGGCTACTATTCTATCTTAGACATTGTCTAACATTCTTTGATTGGCTACTATTCTCTCTTAGAGGTTTCCTAACATTCTTACATAGAGTTTACTACAATTTCTTCAATGGATTGAATCCATTCATAATTTTCATTTGAGTTAACAAAATTGTTCGAACATTGATGTAACAAGTTTAGTTCATGTAGTTTTGTTACACGAAAATGAAATGGGCAAAATAATACACTAAGTATTCTTGCCAAACTTGCCCATTTTTGCAAAACTTATTGTTTGGTGCAATTCAAGTATTAGGTTTTTCTTTTTTTTTGTATATATTTTTAATTAATTGATGTAATTATGTGTTACTATGTTATAGTTACAAACTTACGTTTTCTTTAAGTTTTTGGTTGAAGATCTAAAAAATCTATTGAATCATTAAGCTATGTTTTCCTCTAAAGACACAAAGTAAATAAATAACAAAATGTTGGCAATTTACTCAGCACATGAATACATCTACGATCAATATGCTATCTAATAAGGTCAATTTGATGCCAAGAAAGAATATGAGGTTCCATCTTAAAATTAAAATCAATCGGTGATAAGATGAATTATCTTTCACTTAAAAATGCCACCAAGCAACTTCGTTGGATGAAACTAATACGAGCGATCTTGTTGTCTTCGGTGGAAAAGATTTTGTCGGATCATCTTCAATTTTTCCTACTGGTTTTGTGGGCAAGAAAACAATCCGAATCTTATCAAAAGCATAGAGAACTTGTTTGAAAATTCTTGATGAATACAAGTATAATGCTGTAGCTGAACGACGAAATCCATATCAATCACAAAATCCTCGGACAAGTTCCCTATGCTTTTTGATAAGATCCGGATTGTCAGAGAAAAAAAAAATACGGGATCCGTCTCAATAAACTAATTGATGATAACAAGAATTGTCCTTCACCTTTGTTCCTTCTCAATAAATTAATCTATGATAACAAGAATTGTCTTTCACCTTTATAAATAAAGAGTGTTTCCAATATCTTCCCACGGGTGACACCCAACAATCTCATACCCAACAATCCTCATTCAATACCTAACTATTGGCATATACGACATGTGAGAGGAGTTGTGGGGTTGGCATATATATATATACATATATACACAGGGTAAAAGTATAATTTCGATTCCCATTATTTATCTTTTTCGGTAAATATAAAAGAAAATAATTTCTCTAGTTTTTACTTTTTAATGATAATTTTAGTTATTTTTTTCTGATATATACTGAATCTTAATTTTATTTTTTCAATATCTTTAAATTATTTTTTTATTAATTACGGGAATTCCTAATTATATTTTTCGAATATGCTCTAGATAAATTATATATGATAAGCAAAATGAATAATTGATAATGGTTGAATAAATGAATAACCTTTAATTTTGTTTACATGACAATTATTTACTTTTTTTACTATTCAATTCTTAAGATCACCAAAACCTCAAAATTCACTTTGTTAAAATGTTGAAGATAATACTAATTTTTGTAAAAAAAATCAAAAATAAAATACAATTCCAATATAATATAATATAATTAAAAATGATTTAACATGAACATGAACTTAAATAACACTATCAAGATGAATACACATCCAAAATGGTCGTTAGTAAGTGCCACGATTCGTTAAGGTTTGAGGAACAATATAATTAATTAAATAAAGTGTTATTTCAATCCAAATTTTACCAATCAACAAAATGATTACCATGATCAAGCAAGATAAATAATTTGTCACACTGGACATGTATTCTTATTGAAAAAATTATAATCAAATAATGATTTAAACTAAAATTCAAATAAAAAACCTAATTTCAAATCGAACCCAAACAAATAATTTAAATCATTATATGTCTTTTATTCACTACAACAAATTATAATTAAAGCAACAAATATGAGATCCCAAGAAGAAATTATCAACCTCAAAACTACAATGGAGATAATAGCAATACACTCATTAAGCCCCCCTCGGAAATTAGCATAGCAAGACGATGAATAAATCTTGAAAAGAAATTTACCTTGAAATCGGACTCGAATGAATTCTAAAGCAAGGTTGGGTATCGGGCATCAAGAAAATCTCTCAAGGTTTTCGCAGCTTTGTGGCCTCCCATTAAAACTGAAAGCTTATCCATCGGTAGCATCGCAAGTTCTGCCAGGCTTTTGCATTCTTCCATTATTGATCGGTAGTTGGCATCAGTAACCCCAGGGAGCCGCCTAAGGAATTCCACTGCGGATGTATTGAAATTTTCGGCTCTGCCAAGAAAGATACATTCGTCAATATTGTCAAAAACAATAACACGGTTGTCGTAGTTTTCTATATACTTGTATAAAAGAATATATAGACATGAACATAAGATCAATAGATTTTGTAGCTGCCTGTTTAGGGGATAATTGAGTCGACATATATAACATGGATGGGAATCGAAATTCATCCTTTAAAGAAGGTAACATTTGATCTAACCAATTAATTATTTAAAGTAGACCGGCCCACATGTTACCTGACATCATCTTCGACATTGCCATCCTCTGATGGGACACCAACTCTAGTTGCCTTATTTTCATCTGGCTCGTCCTGGTTTGCTTTGAGCGTGGCAAAAATTTCAGCCGTAGCATGTAAGCTACGAGACCAGACGATGCGAAGCCGAGGAAAATGAAGTACCAGCAACGACAACTTAGATATGATGCTAGTTGGTGTAACATCGTCGCCGATTTCACTGGCAGACTGGACAGACAAACCACATTTTTGTCAAGCAAAATAAAGTAGTAGTTAAAATTAATTGAATAATTAATTAAATTAAATAGTAGTTAGACGAAGAATGATATGAACAACTGCTTCAATTGTTACAAACCTGAAACGAAAAGCTTTTATCTTGTGAAAACTCAATCAGAAGAACAGGTATGCGATAATAGCGGGACATCATTTCCACCTGATGATATAAACGACCGGATGAAAAACTGAGAAAGAGATCCGATATGCTCTTCCGTTCCACACATATGAATGGAGAGAGTATGTAATCTCCCACTTCCAAGGTCACCGGTACAACCCGCATGCCTTTCTGGTGCAGCACATTTGGGAGACTGCTCATAAATTCCCTCATATCCACTATGATCTAGAAAATGCAATAATTTCTTTGCTCAATTAATTTGAATCTCAACGAAAAATTTGGTGATAAAATTCTGCAGCATTCACCGACCTGCATTTCCTTTTCGGTTTCCTTCCTTCCACCTGCTTTTCTAGTAATTGCATTTTGTGCAGCTATCGACTGTGGGTCTACAGAAGTTGCACCCAGTAGCTGCTCATCCTGATAGTCCATCCAAGAAACAGGTTATTACAGAACCGGTAGAAACAATTACTGTTAGTCTCAAAATAATGTAATCCAAAATGTAGTGCGGCAGAGAATAACAGCAATAGAAGATGTTTCCTAAGGAAAGCTACTAGCAAAGTGTGTATGAGCAAACCTGAGTGACCGGAATCATCATCAGAGATTTCTGTCTGATCAGGGACTCAAATGCTCCATTTTCTCTTCTTATACTTGCCTCATATTTCCTAACCTCAGTAGATTCTTCGTAAAACAGAAAATAAACTTTTAATTTCTTAGAAGGATTTTCAGATTTGTAAATTTCAATTTCTCTGACAAAAGCCGTATCAGGGTGGTAGACAATTATGACAGAGGGCTGTAGAACATCCAGTATTCTCTGATCACTCTCCAGGGCATGGAAATGCACTAGTTGGCTGTAAGTTTCTGATCCTTGATCATGCTTTCGGAGAACCACCCTATCCAAATTTTTGTTTTCAATTGGCGCATCATGTTCAGAGGTCGGAATTTCAGGCTGAATACTTGTATCTGATTCGGGACCAGTTTTCTCAACCGCTATATTTTTCTTATATTTTTCACTTTTCTTTGCTTTACCAAGTTCTTCATTGGCCCCGCCTTCTTTGGCCATTGTATCCCCGTTAGCTTGCTTACTTATTGCACGTGCTGCAGCCAGCAGTGCATCATTTTCTTGTTTGTTCATGCTACTCATTTCACCTTTTTGTCCAGAAACAGAGCTGACAACTCCATCAAGAATTCCGAAACCCTTTGGTACTTTCGATTTCTTTTTTTTGGATTTTGGTAAAGATTGCAGCTCCACTTTACTTAGCAAGTATTTCTCCCATTCCTCATGCATGACCTTCAGAAAACAAGTAAAAAAGTGCACACGGTCAGTGCATCGCTGATATGCATCCAACAAATTGGATCCACAGATCTACAGTAATTTTGGTTAAGCACACATGAAACTTCTACAAGCAAAAAATAACCATCACCAGATGGTCACAGCTGATGTTTCCTAGGGATGCCACAACCACCACCATCATTGCCACTGGCCCACTGCCATCTGGCTTGACGACAAGGCTCTTTTGAAGCAGGCAGGATTTTTACTAGAGCTAAGCCAGTTTGGAATATACTATAAATAAGTCTTATGGTATGGTATGGTTAGTGTTCTAAAATTGTTCAGGATTGAAACTAGATATAGACTGTTAGGCTTTGGAAGGGGCAGACGAAGTAGGAAGAAATTTTTGTATACCCATGTGTTACTTGATTTCTTTCCAATTAGGATTTTCCGCTTCATAATGGTGAAACTACAGTCCATAAGACAATAGAAAAATGAACAGGGAAAACTTGAGGTAATAGATAGTGTCTAGGAAAACCTTTTGCGGGCCTTTTGTAATGCAATCCTGGAGCTGCATGCATGAGTATTCATCTTTGCATGCCACAAGAATAAATCCATTATGTTTGCATTCACCTCCATCTATTTCTTCCCCATCTGTCACTTGCTTTTTTGTTTCATCTTCCATCTCCTTGAGAATTTCCTGTTGTAAATTAACCAATAAAAAGTGGGTACCTTCATATGAAAAAAATTTCAAACAATCTCAACACTTTAATTCTATTGATTAAATTATATATAACGCCTTATTGCCTTTCTACACTAAAAGCATTCACATATGGAAAGAGTCAACCAAAACAGTGTTTTTAAACTAATCAACAAGAATTTGAGATTTGAAAGATATAGAACTCACTCACTCAACTCACACGCAACACCTTCCACTTGGGTGGTTCCTCCAAGATTTCGTCCAAGACGGCAGTACTACTTTCACTTTTTGAAGAATCTACAAGCAGGTGACAAAGTATTATTAGCTTTAAATTAAATAAATGAATAAACAAAAAAGAACCTTCTCGGGGATAGCTTATTGTACATTGAGTTTCAATGTTTCAAAGTCATCCATAAATAAATAATCAACAAACCATCGGTTATATCAATATAAATATGTGTGTGTGTGTGTGTGCGCGTGTGTGTTTATTAGCTCATTACTGGAAAGAGTCACAGAATAAGAATTCACCATTTCCTTCCGTGTTACTTTCATCTAACTTCCGCTTCCGACTTGATGCATTCTTACTTGTTCCAGTCGCTTTTCCACTATCCAATCTACCAAACTGATAGACTCGCTTTTTTGCATACTCAAATATCTTGTAACTAGACTCGGCAAAGATCCAAACAGATCGAAAACTCTCGGAGGCTCTTAGTGAGTCCAGATACTTCAGGTAAGTCACTGCATCATACCTATTAAAACAGACATATATATATATATATATAAATATATATAAAACTCAAAAACAGAAGAAAAAACGTCTATCAATCTTGAAGGGGATATAAATGTCCAAATTTCAGATTGAATGCCAAAATCACATCTCTTCAATAATCACGTACTAAAACATCACAACTCCAATACAAGAAAATTTCAACAGTCATGTAGATTATGACACCTACTCATCACACAATACTTCCCAGATCAATGATTCATAGAAGCCATTGCAAGAACATGGTCTAACTGAATTAGGTTTTTTTGGGCCCAATCAAGCTTCAAATAAGTTTGCCAGAGACTCAAAACTGATTTGGTTGACCACTATGGCAAATTACATCTACTCAGTACGAGTGGCTGTATAATGAATAGGAATAAGTTATACATTTTGTCCTAAATCTCATGCACATGCACTTCCTGAAGCTGAATATTATCATCTGTTCAAGAAGCATTCCCTGCATATAGGTTCACCTCCCCTCCTAACTTAAACATATTAGTCAGTGCATCATCATTTCAGCTAACGGTTAAAACTAATATAGCTTAATTCCAATAACTTTCAAACATTAAGAAAAGGCTGCAAACAGTCCTCTTTGTCTGTCCCTTTACATTATCAAAACTAAAGCGAAAAATTCATTGCTTATAAATTATACTTCGAAGACGCTAAATATTATCACGTCCAAAAAAAATATACTCCACTCCTTTTCTCAAAGTGTTTTAACTTCTAATATTATCTTCCTAAATGACAAACACACGCGTGCACACGCACAGTAGCATCAAATACCTGATGAGATAATCCAACAGCTTTCGCAATGTCTTCAAATCTGAAACCAGCTGCTTTGTTCTCTTCCCTAGTGTATGCCAAATAGGGTCCAACTGCCTCCGCACTATCTCATCGAATGACTTGAACAAACCACTTTCAACAGTCAAATCCTCTACATCAACCTTATTTGTTTTTCTCATCTCCTTCAAACATGCATCCATCACTTCAATCACAGCTTTCTGAATTCCAATCATGTATGAAGACATCGGGACACGAATGTCTATAACCTCAGGTGGGTCCCGTTCCAAATCTTGAGAAACGTACACCTAATCCACCCAAAAATTTACTCGATATGAATATTGCAAATTTACAGCGTAAGAACATAAAACTCACTGAAAACCAAAGCACTCACTTTACAACCTTGAACAAGCTAAGATGATGTTCAAACTTAATCTAAACCTATACTAATCAACATGGAAGTCTAAAAACATGAAACTTCTAAAATTTTGACAAGCACTGATTTTAAATTCCTCAATTGATTATCCATAAACTGGAAGTCTTTATCTGCACCTATTACCTGAAATCTTGGCCAGAGGTGAAGCTTACGCAGAAAGAGGCATTTGAGGGTCCGTTCAGCTTTAGCAAAACCAGAGACCATGGCCTGGGGGCGGTCGGAGAAGGCTCGAACATAAAGAGAACGATTTGAAGACCGCAGAATCCGAACAATGAACGCCTCGGTTGAAGTATCCGAAAGAGAATGAGCATTGAGAAGGATAATGCCGGCAATCGAAGTGGTGGGGAGCCGTTGAGTGAGCAAATCGACGATCAGAATTCTAGCGGTGATAAAGTATATGCCCCCAGACGTGTAGAGAGAGAGGCGCTGCTGGAGCGGGAGGTCAGAAGTGATGGAAGGGAAGTGGGATTCGACGTCGATCGAATTCTTCTGGGAAACAGAGCCGTTGAGAATTAGGACAGAGCCCTGTGAATGGTCGTGGAGGCTGAGAAGAGAGGAGATGAGCTTGGGGAGACCGAGGCCAGCGGAGAGAACGACGAGACCGCCGCTAGGGTCCTCAAGGAGGTCTCCGATTATGTGCTCGTGAAATTGTACCATAGTCGGTTAAAAGGACGGCGGAGATGGCGAGCGAGCGGCGGCGGAGATGGATGAGGTAGCGGTGGCGGCACCGTTCCGGCGGTAGGGTTAGCCACGGTTTTAGGCAGGGCGGGTTTCTGTAACCGCACTACAAAACATACTATCTGTTTGTTTGGGATATTCTTCCCAAAATTTACTATTCTAACATTTTAAAAAAAAAAAAAATTTAAATTAAATAATTTCTTTAATCTCTCCGTCCAACATAATTTTTTTAATAATCTATTCTAACCGTTTCCATTTGCCGGACATCCTTCCCTTTTTTTTAATTTTGTAAATTCAAATATGGATTTATTTTTTTGATTTTTTTTTTTCAAATGGTATATTTAATTCAAATTTTTTATTTTTTTCATTAGAAAAAGAAGGTAAAATTCATCGACTTTTTATAAAATGTGTGAATTTGGAATGAATACATCTGATTTTTAATGACCTTTAAATTTCGAATCATACTCCAAATTTTAAAATCCAAAAAGATTATACAAACTCTCAATTCAAATACACCCGTATATTTAAATACCTACAAAAATAAAATAATCTTAATATTATTTCTAAAACAACTCAAAGAAATAAAAATAATAATAATAATAAATAAAAAAAAATCCATGCAAATTTCAAATTCAACGACCTAAAATACTGAGAAAAATGAAATATCCAAAGGTAAAAAACAAATAAGTTCCAAGATCGAAAGACAGCTCTAAACTGATTTCAGCTTAGCTTTTAGAGAAAGCAGGCAGTTTCGACTAACGATCATCGTCAACAGTATCGTCGAATGGAAAAGTTTAAGCTCCCTCGGCCAGGGTTCCCTTCGACGTACTGATATAAAGAACTGCGTAAGGAGGTAAAAATCAATCGACAATTTTAATCCAGTTCGAAGGATGCTGTATCGAATTGAAAACTCGAGTGCCTTACCATTATTTCCACGAATGAAGGCGTCGCCATACTTGTTCTTCAGCTGACCATTTACGTATTCTTCTGTTTGTTCCATTGCAATATTCATATATCCATCCAGACACGCGAGAATACCTGTGGAATAATTTTATTAAGTCTAAAGACAATGTAACATTCGATAAGCAGCCAAAAATGATCACCGATTTTCATTCGACATTGTAGATTTTGCCAGTTTTTAAGTAGATTACTAATCATACAAAGTTATTGAGTACTTTTTTGCTAGTTTTGAGCAATCCTAGAAACATTGGCTATTGTGTTCTTTTCATGGTTGACAAAGCCAAGTATAGATAACACCATTTGAATCCAAGTTCGAGCATATAACAAAACCTTAAGGCCACTACAACCAACTTATCGCAATAACCTCAAATCTCCGAGCTCAAGATAAATATTGCACAATTAGATTCTTTCTTGTTTGTTCCAAGCATAAGATCATAATTCACTTTAAGTCCTCGAGAAGCGGCAAGCCATTCCACCCAACATAGCACGTCCAATCATGGCAATACACACCAAGAACTAATTCAATGCATAAACCTTAAGCAACCAATCCTTAAAAAAACATTAATTGGAATCATTTGTGGACAGAGCTTATACTAAGTTATAGGAACTTCCTGTGTACCAACAAATAGGACCGGAAAATTTTGATACCGTGAACCGTATTCGAACCAAAAATTTTTGTTAACAAAAAATATTTGCAGTAGTTTCAATAGTTCGAACCAAACCGAAGAAAAAAAAACAAATATATTAGAAAATTAACTAAAATTGCAATTAAATAAAAATATTTGCTAATATTCCAAATCGAACAATTTCTTTTGCCCAAACCCCTACCAACAAGAACCTTTCTCACAAATTTCTAAAGTAGAAAATATATCTGTAATAATATTCACAAAGAAAAATTACCACAAAACAAGAAAATAAAACAAATGAGAAACCCTACGTAACAACAGAACAAGAGCAAAAGGAGAAAAAAAAAAAAAAACGCAAAAGCTGTAAATGCTATGCAACTGACCTCTATAGTCGACCCCCGAATTCAGCTTGACTACAACAGGTCGACCGCGTATAGATTTGAGAAAATCAGCAGGAGTTTTCGCCGTGGATGGCTTATCAGCTCCGGCCATTATCCAAATCAATTGCCCAAATTAGCACTTAAATAACAGAAAAGAAGAGAAAATACCACAAACACAGTTAATATCGCTTCGTAGCAGAAATAAATAAGAAAAAAGGATCTCGCCATTGCCGATAATTTCTTCGCAGTAAATCAAATTTATCGGCAAAAGCAGATAACACACCTATTAGGTAAAGATGACAGGGCAAGAACACCAATCCCGGAGAAGCGAAAGCGGCCGGCGCCGATTGCGGGAATACGACCGACGGCTTCTGGCTGCCGAAACGCCGCGATTAGGGCTTTTTGAACGTTAAGCCCAGCCAGGAATTCTTTTCAGTTGTTAATAATTGTTTTTATTTTATAATATATATATATTCACGAATTGTTTTCGGCGGCTTCAGTCATTCTACATAATCAATTGTGTGTAACGACTAATTTAAAATTAAACTTCAAAACTTTAAGTGCGCTTGTCAAATACTGTTTGAAAAGCTTTTAACTTATTGAACAACTTGTTTGACTAATTAAAATGTATTTGATAAATTAACTTTTTGTAATAGCTTTTTGGATAAAAAAAAATTAACTTAATCAGTGTTTTGAAATAACTTTTTATTGAAAAAAAATTTTATTCCTTATACACGCCTTAAAAAATTTATTATGCATTTTACATAAATAATATATTTTGATTATATTAGAATATTTTATTATAATATAGTTTTAATTTTATAAATTTAAAATAATTAATTTTTATATAAAAATTATTTTAATTATAAAATATATAAATTTATTAAAATCAACATAAAATATAAACTATAAATATAAATAATTTATTTTTATATTAAAATTACAATATATAAATTTTATACTAAAAATAAATTAAATTTATTAAAAATTATAAATATAATAAATTAATCGATAACTAACATAATAAATATATACACGAAAAATTTATTATTTTATATTTTACATCATTTTCAATAGAAAAAACTATTTATATATTTTAATAAAAATATATTATTTTTTAAAATCTAACTGTAATAAAAATAATATACTTTTATAATACTTTTACAATTTTCAATAACTAATAACAAAAAATTTTAAACATTCTATATTCAAAAAACATAATTGAATATATTAGAAACAAAAATAAAATAAAAATATCCTCAATTGTCATTTTACGGATAAACAGTTAATATCAAACAGTTGTTTTATCGAACATTTTAATACAAACCGCTAATTGAATCAGCTAGTCAAACCAGCTAATTGAATCAGCTAACAGCTATCATCTAATTGTTAACTGTCAAACACGCCCTAAATAATTTCATATTTGAACCTAAATATAATATTGTAAATAAATTACAAATACTCAAACCCAAAATAAAAAGTTTATAATTTACTAATATAGAACATAAAATCCATCCACAGCTGTAGTCTGTGTATAACTTTCCTCCATTGAGCTACAATAATATGACCATCTTCAGCAAAATCTATACAAAATTTTATCAACCAAAGCAACTAAGCCAACACGGGCATGTCTGTCCCCAACACGCCCGTGTAACGTAAGGATGCATAAGAATTAAAGCAATAAAAGAGATGGGCAGGCGCTCCATCGTCACCCCGGATTGACAAACTTCGGATACACAGAGCTACCACAAGCGCTTGTGGCCTGCCCGCCAATCCCGCCGCTCGACGAAGAAGTCGAGACGAGGAGTTCGGCTTGGGGAAAGGAGGCGTTGGACGGGACATCGAGCAGTAAATCTTGTTCGGAGCTTTCGGCATTGTGGCCGAACAAGAGCTCTTTTCGACATTTTGGCTCCATATATTTCTTTTCATAGGTAGCTGCAAATCTCGATTTTGCTACTGAAGAAGAAACTATCATCATTTCGACATCTAATTTAAGAATGAAATCGAGTACGAAAAGAATTATGTCTCGAATAAGTGTGTACCCGAAAAGTTTTGGTGCTGGTCGTGTGGTCTTTCGATTCCCGCTGAAGAATCGGCTGCAGAATGCGGCGTAATGGTTTCTCCGGCAGCTTCCGGCTGATCGAGAGAATCTTTACCTTTCGAGTCCTGAATGAAAAACTTCGCCTCAATACGATGTAATTTAGGAGTGTCATTGCAAAGAACAGTAAGATTTCGATCGACAACCTTCAAGGTTTTATACTTCTCGACCCACTTCGACTTCACGGCGTTGCACAACACAAATTTCTTCAGGACTAGGCAGTCTTCCAGCTTGGTCCCGACCAGCGTGTGATCGAAAAGGCCATGTTCAAGAAGGTTCTGGAAGCACAACAAACTATCCTTGAACTGAGGGCTATCAAACATGCCTCTGAGGCCGTAAATAAATGCCGAGTCCCTGCTACACACAGGACAAACTGTAAACTACTCACATCTCGATTATCTAAAGCTTTAACCCGACAATCTCTCTACTTTGTGCTATAGTTAAAAGGGTTAAAAAGATTAAAAAAAAAGTGCGATAGTCAATTAACGATTATGGTGATACAAGATAACCATTGATACCTATCTTTAGCTGCCACAGTGTCGACAGAAGGTAAAAGCTTCAGCAATCGCTGTTGCTCTTCATATGTAAAATTTCCGGCAAAATTTTCCAGGTTTACAATGTCCTGAGTATACACGTTAAAGAAATGTAACAAATCGAAAAGGCTGCACTAATCAAGAAACAAAGCTAATTAGAAATCACCTAATAAGAGGAAGTATGTTTGATCATTAAAACACAGCGATTAAGAAGTACAAAAGTGCTACTACAAATTAAACTTGCATTTATTGGTCCCGTTATAAACCGAGAATCTATAACATATCACAGGAAAATCAGGCAACGAAAGAACAGAATTGATCTTGCAATTACAAAAGCACCGAAAAAGAGACATGTTGTACAAAAAAGTGTTGGACTTTCTCATTAAAACGAATCCATATTTATTATAATGACTAGGGAGTTGTTACTAAGGCATTTATATTGCAATGAATTTTTCATCATATTATCATTGGCTCGGAAAAATCAAGAACATATGCATTTCTAACTTACTTGTAGGTCAATAAAACAGAGCGGCGACTTGTGATACATCATCAGCTGTACAATTTCTAACCGGTCCTTGTCTTTGGAACTGAATGAAAAAACCAATAGTAAATGAATTCATAGAAACAAGACGAAAAAAAAAGAAGCTCAATAAACATTACAAGGAAATATAGCCTACTCGAGCAATAAATCTAGAAATTTCATAAAAATGCCAAACTTGTTGGTGTTCAAATGGAAATGCCTTACACGTGCAGTTACTCGCTCTTTCTATGTCACATATGAAGAATAATAAAACTTATAACTACGGCATATCCCGTTGAATGACCACCACGGTCTCTCTTGAATGGAAAATTGAATAAATTCAAATGCAAAGCCACCCCACTTCAACATCTTATTGAACGGCCATCTTATATAAAGTTTCGTTATTTATGTTTAATTTAAAATTGAGATCGTTATAAGTAGTACCTTTTAAGTGAATCCTTTTCCTGTTCCTTCCCTAGATTAGAATCCTTCTTTACTACATTCACTTCTCGATCTTTTAAATGAGCCGGCTCTTCGATAAGGCTGGGTAAAGGTTCAACCTGAGGATCCAAACGTTGCTGCTTGTTTTCAAATGAAAGGGAGCTAGCTTCCGATTCTTCATCTCGAGCTATGGAGCTAGGATGCCGAATAAGTATACTTCCATGTCCAATCTCAACGGATACCATTGGCTTGTCGCTTTCAAGCAGCAAGTCCTCTTCTGAAGATGCAGTCAAACACGAAGACTGCTGTTCATGCCATATGGTATAAAGATCTTCAGCAAGCTTCTCGACCGGATATGGCCTTGGTCGAGTTATACAGGTTCTCTTCCTGGAAGGCACGACTGAATCCCATGCCAATGGTTGAGATGCACCTGCAGTTGTTAAGCAACGAAATCACACAACGTGATAGAAAGTCTTGTAATATTAAAATAGGCAAAAGTGATCTCGTAATCAGCTTCTGGATTAAGCATCGAACATACGTTTTTTAGGACATGAAATGCAATATAAAAAAGTCTTCTTCAAAGATAATTTTCATCATTCCATAAACAGAAAATGAATTCTGCAAAATCTGTCACTATAGAGGAACAAGCACTAACCTGTCATATCGCTTGCCTCGGCTATGGAATATTGTGCGCAGCTCTCCGAGTTCGATATAGCAGAACCAGAACTCGATCTATTACTCATATCTTCACCAACTCTAGGAAACCCCGGGCTGGATTCAGGAGGAACATGCACAAATTCAGTTGCAGGAGCACCATTATGATGCATACGCTTCAACCCCTTTGCCTTCTTGTTCCCGCCCAACATGTTTTTCGACTGAGGAATCTTATAGTCTTCGAGTTCATCCTGCTCAGACCTGGCGTGCATAGGTGCATAGTTCGCCAAAGTACCCTTTGTTCTCCACCGTGAGCCACAAGCATTGCAGAGCACCGGCTTCTCGGGTGGCCCGTTACGCCAAAGAGGGGTGGCTGTTACATACACTTTTATAAGGCGCCAATTTATGCTTTCAAAAAGAAAGAATGACTGATGTTCGAATCACTCGGAAATGAAAGTAATAAAGCCTTTAAAATCTTGAACGACTATTTTTCTATAGCATATAAGCACAGAAATGTGATCCATACAAGTTTTTCCATTCACTTTATTGCATCGTATGCCTTATTCCATGTATACAATTTTTCGCCATTTAGTGTATTCAACTTCTATCTTGTCCTATTACATTTTACAAATCTTGACGAGAAGAGCATATATTGTATAGATAAACATGAGTATAAGTAAGATAGAACGGTCAAAAGAAGTAGTTTCTAATCATTAATAACTAAAAGTCCATCGATTATATGACCTTCTACATGTGGAAGAATATTAATCTTCTAGAACAAGCACTCGTCGAGCTCAATATAAGAAAGTTTATTAAATGTTCATAAGGAGCACGTATAACAACAAACAGAAAACTAGTAAATGTAAGCGACAAACCAAAATAGATCAAAGTAACCAATCGACATGGGGAAATGATCATGACTAAATGAAGATTAACAGCATAAAACAACCTCGAACATTCAGCTAGAAACAAATTTAACAGATAATGCAAAGAAGGCAAATAGGCATATCTCCAAAAAGAAGAAGCACCACTTATCATGGAACCCATATTCGAAAAAGGCATGTTATCGCACAATCGACCAATCAAAAACCAACACATAGAGAGCCGAAGAAAGTCAATGTGGATACCAGCATACAACAACCATATAACATCATGCCACGTGCTAAACTATACTGGATACAAGATTACGACTACAATTACACCGGCATTCATATCATGATGAGATTACACGTAATGGTCCAGCCTTTAAGAAACATAAGAAATACGATCATGAAAAGTTGTTTATAACTCACCGCCTTTCGAATTGATTACTTATGGAAAAAAGCCATCTATTCAACTTTATCAGCTAAGAAACAATGGAATTAACATACAACCATAAACCAACTTTTAAATGTAACTCCTCGAAAAGAAGATCCAGCGCCGATCAAGTAATGAATGCATAGTTGCGCCGGCTACCAACACTAAACAAAATTGTTAAAGAAGAAACTCAATTCGAAAAAAGAATCTTCGATTCATCTATTCTAACACTAAACAACTATAGCCTTTTCAAACAATATAGTTTTCGAAAAAAACCCAATCAAGTGATGGAAAAGCATTGATTCAAACCAGCAAATCACCCTCCAACTCAATGCAGCATTCGACCATAACTTCATCGATTCAAAAATCAAATACAACATGAAAAACAATAACAGAACATCATATACATTTTTTTAGATTCTTCATTATCCAACAAAGCAATAATCATCAAGCATTTGATATACACCCAAATTTCAACTGCATAGCACCAATCAATCGTTATCGAAACAAACTGAAAAAAAACTCACCTGTAACACCACAGTGACAGCAAGGTCCATGTTTCACCATCTCTCTCTCTCTCTCTCTCTACTGAATTCCCCAACTCTAAGAAACAAAAAATTCCTTTGAAATTCCAAAAACAAAGCAAGGCCTCAACTACAAACCAAAATAAAATTCCCCTTTCAAGATTAATTTTGCAAACAGCCCTGATTAATTTCCAACCACTTTTTTCCCGCAATTAAAAAACAGAGTAAAAAGCCTTCGCAGGATGATTGAAAACCAAGAAGCAAAACACAAATTCAGTTTTCTTCTTAAAACAGCAAACTGATAATGAAGATTGAAAAGGAGATTCTTTCAAGGCCAAATGAAGATTTGATGCATCTGAATAGCACAATCCAATGAAAAGAACATGGAGAAATCTGAATAAATGGTTGGGAAAGCAAAGCAAAAATGGGAAGAAAAGGAAGTGGTTTCTGCCTCTGCCTCTTGACTTGTGCTGTGCTGTGTGTATTGGGTTTCAGCTTTCTCTTATTACTTTTATTATTTTTTTTTTTGTTTTTTTTTTTTTTGCTTTTAATTTCTGTTTCTTTTTTTGGTTGCGCGTTCGGAGTTCTTACCAGATTGATAATGTTAATTAATTATTTGTTGCATTTTTTAAAAAACTGAAATTTGGTTCTCACCTGTCACCATATATATCACAGGTGTGCTCACTTCTATTATACTTACTCACGTAATTTCTTCCTATTTTTTATTTTTATTATTTTTAAAAATATAATTATGCACTTTAATCACATTTTGAATTTTAAATTTTATAATTTTTTTAATTTTAATTAAACTATTTATTTATCTTAATCTATAATTATTTTTACTAAATAATAATTATTTTTACTAATATACTTATTGATTACTTGCTAATTATATTTTACCTAAATTCTAAATTATCATGTCTACAGTAATACGTCCATGTTATATGGGACAGAGAGAGTACTATTGATTAGTATTAATTAATGATTTTAGCTACTAAAAATTTAAAATTATAATTAATTGATGCAATATATATTAGATATTAATATTATATTTAATTTTTTTTCTTTTAATTATTCTTTTATTTCATATTTATCTATCAATTTGTTTGTTGATGGAGTTTTAAAAATATTAATATTATATTGAAACAGAATAAAGTGAAAAAACTAGTATTGTATAATATAAGTAATCCTATAATATATATTAAAAAAAATGATAAAATAGATAGATCATTAAACTGAGGATTTGGAAGTATATAATTCTTATTTTTATTCGAATAGTAAAAATATTATTTTTATATTATTATTACAAATACTTTTATATCTAAATTAACGAATATATTGATACAATATTTTTATAAAAGAAATATATATAAGAGTATGAAAATTTTCAAAATATCTATAAAAAAAACTTATCTTTGTGTAAATATTGAGGGTGTATTAATAATGTTAAATTAATTTTTATGGAGCAAGAATATTTAATTAAATAATAGGTACGAATTAATTAATTTAACAGTTGGAGGAATATTAATGCCCTTCTTTTGTTGACCGACCACAGACTTTTCAGCTTATCTTTAATTTACCCATCCATTTTTATTATTATTATTATTATTTTCAAATATAGAATATAGATAATAGAGAATGGTCAATTTTATTTTATTATTATTACTATTATTTTTTGGATTGCACTATCCAAATCCATCTTGCATTATGTTACATGCTATATTTTGCTTATATTTGACCTAAGTAACTTAGATGATATATTTTTGATAACCTTGTTTAAAATTATAAAAAATAAAAATAAAAATTAATGGGAATGTCATACCAATATATATATATATATGTAAATGAAAAAAATGAAATAAAACAATATAATGTATTATATATAATAACAAATATCATCAAAATAATATCAATATATATAATATTTTGATATTGTTGTGATAATAGACTTTAATCTAATAAAAGTAATGAAATTTGTGTAATATATTGAAAGTTGTAAGAATATTTATTATATTAATAGATAGTAGTACAATTAATAAAAAATAAAATAGTACTTTTATTTTTGGACGTATAAAAATAAAAATGGAACTCTTTTTATATGACGAAAGAGCATAGGGCGAAAGATTATTTTGTTTATGTAACTTGTTAGATTGTATTGTGCAGAGATATTTTAGATATTCAAGTTTTAGATTTAGTAGATTTATATCTAGATCTTATTCATAAATTAAATTACTTAGATTTGAATCTATCGAGTCTATTTTATATTGTCTATATATAGGCTCTTTATTTTGATGATCAATAAGACAATCTCATTATTTTCCCCCAAAATTTTTAACATAGTATCAAAGCACGATTTTCCAAAACCAAAACCCTAGTCCGCCGCCGCTGTTCGCCGTCCATCGTCCGCCCTTCTCCGGTCGTCGTTTTTTTGGTCGCCGCCTCCTGCTTTGGTTCCCTACGTCGTGGTGAGGTTGGCTTTGTCATCGGAGTTGATTTCGTTTTGCGACTGTTACCTATTGGATTGTTCGATCTACTTTCGTGATTTGGGCTTTGATTTCATGATTCACATATTTTTATACGTTTTTTTTTTTTTATGGAGCGTATGGACGTTCATTTACCTATTACTACTATCTTGTCCGGCGATAATTATGATATTTGGATGCAATCTATGAAAAGTTTATTAACTGGTAGGAAGTTATGGCGAATTGTCACTGACGATATCCGGCCATCTGTCTCTCCATCTCCTTTTGTGAATTTTGATCCCACCTCTCGGGAGCATGAAGATTATGTTGCCAAATTGGAAGATTGGGATAGTAAGAATCATTAAATTCTTACTCGGTTGCACAATACTTTTGTACCTGCGATTCAGGTACAATTGACTCATTTTGATACTACAAATGAGGCATAAGATTTCCTCGCTTCTCGTTTTCAGACTATAGGTCTTGCTCATTATTATCAGCTTTGCACCACGCTGAGCTCCGCCCGATAGCAACCTAGTCAGTCTGTTAATGAGTTTCTTGCTCAGATTCAGTGATCTCATTTTAGGCTCCGGCGGAGTCATTTTGTTTACGGCTTCGGTGGAGTCATGTCGTTTTAGGCTCCGATGGAATCATCTCGTTTTCGGCTCCGGTGGAGTCATGTCGTTTTCGGCTCCAATGGAGTCGTTTTCAGCTCCGGTAGAGTCATGTCGTTTTCGACTCCAGTGGAGAGTCATCTTGTTTTCGGCTCTGGTGGAGAGTCATATCGTTTTCAGCTCCAGTGGAGTCATATCGTTTTCGGCTCCGGTATATTCATCTCGTTTTCGGCTCCGGTGGAGTGATTTCGTTTTAGGCTCCGGTGGAGTCATCTCGTTTTCGGCTCCAGTGGAGTCATGTGATTTTCGGCTTCGGTGGAGTCATTTCGTTTTCAGCCATCTCATTTTCGCCTCCGGTGGAGTCATGTGGTTTTCGGCTCCGGTGGAGTCATCTCGTTTTTTGCAGCTCCGGTAGAGTAATCTCGTTTTCGGCTCCGGTGGAATCATCTTGTCTTCGGCTCCGGTGGAAAGCCATCTCGTATTCGGCTCCGGTGGAAAGTCATCTCGTTTTCGACTCATCTCGTTTTATAGCTTCGGTGGGTGGAGAGTCCGCTGCTAATTTTATTTATATTTTCTTTTTGCGTTTATATTCAAATTTGTTATCAAACTCAAGTTGATTTCTGTTATACCACTTGAGTTTGATGGAATGTTGAGATATTTTAGATATTCATTTTTAGATTTAATAGATTTATATCTAAATTAGATTATTAGATGTGAGTCTGTCGAGTCTGTTTTGTATTTCCTTATTTTTATGATTAATAAGACAATCTCATTATTTTCCTCCAAACTTTGTAACATATTGTATAGTAAAAAAACAAAGGAATCATATTTTTTTAATAAAATAAATACTAAAGAATACCTTCGCGACTTTGTCATATTTGAATTGTCCAAAATAAAGAAAAAAGGAAGAACAAAAAAAAAAATTCAAGAAAAATTATAACAGTAAAGAAAAATAATATTATATCCAAGAGTAAGTATAAATTAATAATTAAATAGAAACTATATACAAAAATTTATATGAGGTACATAAAATTTGTATAAAAAATATAAAAATAAAATTTGTGATATAAAAAAAATATAAATAATAAATAAAATTATTTGAACTAGATGAAAGTATTATACTATATTACTTGGATAGCTGTACTTTTTTATATTAAATATAAAAAGTAATATTTTACATAAAATTATTATTTTATATAATGAATAAAATATATATTATATTAATACGTGTATATTATATTTTTTTAATAATATTTTAAAAAAATTCGTGATACCAAAACCATTAAGCTAATAAACCCAAGTAAACAAACTTTATTTCCCCAATCATCAAAATTCACTTTATACATTATATACAAACAAGATCGATAATTTTGCAAACTATGCGATTCAAAAGACCCTAAGGGTGTGTTTCTTTTCCGTTCTAAATTCGGGTCAGCACCGTGCAAATACTCCGAGCTTCTATTTAAAGTATAAGAAAGTCGATAAGATTGTTTCACAAAGGTTTGCCTTTGATCGATATTTGCCGTGTAAATGATCTCATAATTTTCTCGAAACTTTGCTCTCTACCTTCAACTTTAGAACTCGCCGGCGCAGTCTCCTTTGGTGGTCGTGTATTTTCCAAAGACCGTGGCCAAGAACCACCGAGGAATATATGCCGTGTGTGATGATTGGCGCAAGAATGTTCTTTGTCTGCGGGCGCGCAAGAAATGAAATGGAACTAGAGTTTAGTCGCGCTAACTTTTTCAAAGGAAACAAAAAAATGTCGAGCCTACTCACCTGAATCCATTCGAACCCGAGATAGAGCGCCAAAAGGGCCTCGAGCAAAGGGGAATATATCTTCTTCATTTGCCGTCTTTCGTACCAGGCTGCGCGTAAAATCGCGACTATTGTAAGAAAATCGACACTAATTTAAATTTTAAAGTATAAGCTCGGTTTACATATATTTTCAAATCTTTTTTTAATACTAATCATCTATAGTACTTTAAAAAAATCATTTATATATTAGATAGGAAACTATTTTTCTAGCAAAGCATAAATCCAACACCTATTTATATATACATTTTTTTTTAAGATGTGACACTATTCATTCACATGTTATTTCTTTATTTTTTTTCTATTTTTTTTACACAAAATTTACTATTTTATTTTATTTTTTATTTTTTATTTTTTTATACACAAGATAATTGATAAAGGTAAATTTGTCAACTCATAACAAAAAATTAATTGTCTACAAAAACATATAAACATCAATTAGGTCAATAGAAAATGAACTAAGGGAATATAAAATACTCAAATCTTTTACTATTTTTAAATTTTTTAAAACTCTTATGTGAAGGAACCTTATTTTTCGTTCGGATTTTTTCCTATTTCTAATAGACCTTGTATCAAAATGTTCTTGCATCTTATTAGTCGTTGCTCGAATAATCTTGTATTCGCATTCTAGTTTTTGCCTTAAAATACAAATAATCATCGAAAAATGACCTGAAAAGAGCTTCTTCAGATCTTCATGGCCGGAGCGCGACTTCAGCACCGGAGCGACTACATAAGTAGGGTCTGAAAACAAAGAGCGAATCCGAGATCAGACAAAGTCGACAAAACATGCAAAGAAATATAAAAAAAAATCCATGATACCAACCTTTCGGCGAGGCAGCCATGTAATAAAGCGAACCAGTAAGAGCAGCTGTAATAACCGCGGCAAATGCCTGCGCAAATGGGACAAAGGGAGGCAGCATGCCAGCCTGAGTCGAGCCCAAGAAAACAAAAAAGTTAAGAAAGCGAAGAAGATAAAGGGTATGTTTGTTTTGTGAGATTATTGGAAAAGAATTTTTTTTATGTGAGGTATAAGAATTGTGCAGTGAATATAAAAATAATGAATGTACGTAGTGTATTAATATTTTTAGAAAAACATGCGGGAAGAAATATAGAAAGAACAAAGCCAAAGCTCGTCGAGTATAAAAAATCCACAGGTTTTTACCAGCGACGCCATTCCTTGCAAATCGCCAACTAAACCACTGCTTCGAAGAAAAATCTCTGCAACCGCGCCCTGTTTGAAAATGTCGACCATTGTTACAAAAAAAAAAAAGCGCGCTTTTAAAAGTAAATGTTACATCATTCGAGCAAATGGAGGTTGTAAATCGCGGCGAACCTGAATTGCAGCACGGTAAAAGAGCTCCTCTCCGACAGAACTCGCAGCAACGATGAGCATAAACTGCAAGAATGCATATGAGAGGTTAACACTTTCCGTGTGTTTGTTTGGGGGTTTGAATTTTGAATTGGTATTCGAATAGTAAAAAATTTGAATTAGAATAGTGGTATGATGTGATATAAATAAGTATTGATAAAATATTTTGAATATAAAATTAAATTTTAGTATAATATAAAAAATGAAAAATAGACGTTTGATTTAATGTCTTTTGGAGTAAAATTTTGTAAGAGTAGTAAAAATCGCCAAAATCCTTTAAACAAACACCTTTTTGTTTACACAGATATTTTTTGAACTTTTGTAGCTATTCATCTACAATAGTTTTTTCAAAAAATCATCGTATCAAATATATTTTTTTTATCACATAATATCATATCAAATACTAATTAATGATGAGCTATGGATCCACATAATATCAATTTTACCTGCCACGGCGACATTCCATAGAAAAAGCTCCGGAGCTCCTCATCCTCGACGTCGCGGATAGCTCGAGCGTAAGGAGATAGCTTCACAACTTCATCCTGCATCGTTTATTCGAGCTTCATTTTTGTCGATTTTCAGTTATTTCAGGTAGCGAACGGTAATTTTTTTTTTTACGAGTAAATGACCGTACATCTAGTATAAAGAGAAGAGCCATGATCGGAGGAGCTGCGTATCCCAATCCATTAACAATAGCATCCAACGATAGATCGAATCCGCCGTAGCAATCAATCCCAGAAATCGAGCATATAAATCTTCCCGCTAGAGCCATTGCGCCGTATATTCCTGGAGTTCAAGTAACAATAGAAAAGAAAATCAGGAAGTATGAAAAAATAAAGACAAAATCGACGAAAGACTAAAGTCACAGCTACAAAAGCTTAATCCTAACATTGGGACAGGATCTAGCAATAATTTGGAATATCGAACAAACTACGCGCATACGTTGTTCAGACATCAAACCATTTCTCTTACAGCCTAAGTACTCGATAAATTTGTGAAAAAGGGTATCGAACAACTTCTCCCTCAATGAAATCTTGAATATTCTTCGAATGGTATAGTTAAAGTAGCATTTGATCGTCATTCGAAAAGTTTTAAGTGTATGAAATCTATTCGCTTTCCCGTTAGCCGTACCACCTTGAAAAGAATGTTCGAACAACCTTAAACACATCGAAAAGCCTCTTTCAACATTCTTCATCAATTCTCCAAGTAGGAAACTAGACAAAACACTCGATGACCAATAAGGAATCACAGTTAAAAGGTCGAAAAAATAGATAAAACAACTAGATAAAACATTTGGGCTTACTGGTTTGTATTTGTACTTTGTGTTTAAATAGTTACCGACTATTATGTTTTGTAAGAAAAAAAAATAATTTTTAACAGAATCTAATGTAGTAAAAAAAACACATCGAGGATCACTAATACCAAGAATCATTACAAACGAATCTCCAAACAACGGCCAATATATAGAATCTCGGCTAAACACATTCCGAACTATGGTTCGATTTATTCACACTTTTAGAATTTTTGTTACTATTCATCAACAATAATTTCTTTTACAAATTTTTTCGAATCAAAAATACATAATTAGCCTAATTATCGATCAAGGCTCATGTTCATATTTTCGCGACTAATCGAAAACTCGACTTTAGCTATTCCAAGAAGTCTAATCCAAATACAACAAAATTATAAAAACTTTAGATCCTAACTATAAGCATCATATTGAAATCACAAAAATTAGCTACAAAGAAACCAAAACATTAACAAATTCTTCAACACAAGATACAAATATTAAAACTATATATATATATATATATCCAAATAAATTCAAACTTATTAAGAATAAGAAGAATCGAAAAACAAAATTAAATTATATTAAATTAAAATTAAAATTAAAAATTACCAATCCCATAGCCGAGTCTAACAATAGCTCCGATCTTCTCCCACATCGGAAACTCAGAGGCATCACTGAAACCCTGATTAAATGTCGTAACCTCCATCGCCGGCGACGGCGACGGCGTCGCATACCCTCCGCCGCCGCCGCCCTCCCTATCCCCGCCCTCGACCGCCTCGCCGCGAGTCCTCTCCGCTCTCACCGCCGCACACTCTTTCTTCCTCCTCCTCCGCGTCGTCGTCGGCGCCTCCCCCGGCAAAACAAAACCGCCGGCGAAACCGCCGCGGCGGCCGCAGCCCCAGGCTGCGGACGGCTTGGCAGGCAGCGAGAGGAGCGAGAAGTCCATGGAATCCGGTCGCCGGAGATCAGACAGCGAGAGTCACGTGAGCCGTGAGGGGGAAGAAGAGCATGATTGGATGGCGTTTGTGGAGATTTTTTGGCCGTAGATTTTTGGGATTGGGTTTAATTGAGTTTTGTGGCGCCACCGGAAAGTCAACATGAGGTTTTGTCGGTCAACGTAATTTTGATCGAAGGAATATCCAGGCGACCAATCAGCTTCTTCCTTGTCTGGATATTGCAACCCTATTAGTTGCCTTATGCCTGTAGCCTTTATTATTTTTGGATCATTATTAATATTTTGTGTTTCACTTTTTGCTTTTTTTAGTATTAATGTTTACTTTTATATACAATTTTTCTTTATTTGTTTTTGTTTTTTTAGCATATTTGAATTATAATTTTTATAATTCTAAGATGGTATTTTTTGTAATTTGATTTTTTTAACATGTTTAATGTGAAAATTTAAATTTTAATGTAATATAATTTAAAAATATATATATTTGATTTAATATTTTTAGAAAAAAAATTTGTTATAGTCAAATCAAATACAAAATTTTATAAATAAATACATACTGTGATTGCTTAGGGGTTTTGGATTTTGAGTTGAGATTTGAATAGTAAAAAAAATTGAATTGAAATAGTTGTATGATGTAATATAAATAGGTATTGATGTGATATTTTGAATGTAAAATTGATTTTTAGTATAATATAAAAAAATGAAAAATAAATATTTGATTTAATATTTTTTAGGGAAAAAGATTAGACGAATAATTAAATCCTCCAAACAAACATTCCCTAAGTATGTAGTGTGTTTTTGTTTGGGAGTTTGGATTTTGAGTTGGAATTAGAATAGTAAAAATTTTGAATTGTAATAGTTGTATGATTTGAAATAAATAGGTATTGACAGTTTAGAATTTAAAATTAATTTTTAGTATAATATAAAAAAATATATTGATTTAATATTTTTTAGGAAAAAAAAAATTTGATGAATAGTAAAATTTTTCCAAAATCCTTAAAACGAACACACCTGAGTTACTTTTATGGGTTTGGAATTTAAAGTTTTTATATATATTAGGTGAATTATTCGTTGAACTTTGTTAAATGCTCATTGCATTTATGAATTTTGCATGGAAATGATAATGGGAGATTTGAATATAAGATATTACTACTTTTATATTATGTTAAAGTAATTATTCCACATAAAAATTCAAAGGTGGAAAATTGGAAATGACTTTATTTTGTTATTTGATTGAGTCATATAAATAAAAAATAATTATTTTTTATTTTTTAATTTCATTTCTACATCATATATGTCAAAATATAGAGAATTAAATATTGATGCAATATACTTCCTTCGTTTCATAACAAAATATTTATTTTTTTATTTTAGTCCGTCTCATAACAAAGTATCAATTAGTAATTGTACTATTTACTTAACATTACAAATACCCTTACAATTTACAATATTCATTAGCTTTGTATCACACAATACTAATAAGGTTATTTTAGTTATTTTTATTTTATTCCTACTAAAAAACAAATGGATATTTAGTTATGGGACGGAAGGAATATTATTTATTTATTTATTTTGTTTACTATTTAATTTTTAAGAATTTTTATAAGAGAGAATGTAAAATTGCAAAATACGTACAAGGCGCATCCAACCAGCCTTTGGCCCAAAGGAGAACCGACCCAAATAAGAAAAAATAACCAACTCAGGCCCACTTATAATTGGGGCCCAATATAAGGCGGGTCGGATCTCACTAGATCCCATAAGTCACAACTGTAAATGTATATTAAAATACTACTATATTAATAATTTATTTTGTTTTTTCAATATTGAATATTAATATTATAATTGTAGTCTGTATGTAGTGGACGCAATATTATAATTATTTTTAGAAAGTAAATGCAGTCCTCCTGATTTCAACGCTTTCCTTTTCTCCCATTTAAATATTAGTATTTTAATAATTTTATTTAGTTTTTTTTTTTTTTTAAATAATTTATTTAGTTATTAATAGAGGAGAGAGATAGAGAAAGGCTGGAGCCCCACTGTGGTTCGTTCCTTTGTCTTCTTCTCTCCAATGGAGAAAGTTGAAAATGCGATTCCGACAGCAGCTGCACAATCGGGCGAAGATTCCGCCGGCATGGCGGCGGAAACGGCTCACCACCTGACGCCGCCACCGGGGCTGACTGACGACGAGTTCGAAGATCTGAAACCCGCCGTCTCTGAGTTCCACAACTATCAGGTCAACTCCGGCCAATGCTCCTCCCTGCTCGCGCAGATCGTCCACGCGCCGATGGACACCGTCTGGTCCATCCTCCGCCGCTTCGACAAGCCGAAGACATACAAGCACTTCATCAAGAGCTGCAGCGTCCGAGACGGCTTCAGCCTCAAGGTCGGCGATCTGAGAGATGTTAACGTCATCTCCGGATTGCCAGCAGCCACCAGCACGGAGAGGCTCGACGTGCTCGACGACGAGCGGCGCGTGACTGGATTCAGCATCATCGGCGGCGACCACAGGCTTCGGAATTACCGCTCCGTCACCACCGTGCATCAAGTCCACCGCGCTGAGATCGGGATCGTAACCGTCGTTCTGGAGTCGTATGTGGTGGATGTGCCGGAGGGCAACACGGAGGAGGACACGCGCCTCTTCGCGGACACTGTTGTCAAACTGAATCTACAGAAACTCGCCTCCGTCGCCGAATCCATGGCTTGTGGATAACAGGTAACCGTTATTCAGTTTCCGATTTCCAAAATAAGGCGAAAAATCATCTCAAAAAACTTGTAGAAACATCGATTTCAGTTTCTCCTTGGAATTTTACTTTTTCTGGATTGTTGGTTGGGGTGGGGAATGGCCATGGGTGCCCTGGTGGTGTATTCCGATGCTGTGAGATATTGTTTCCACTTCCATTTTCTCATATTCCAAAAACAAAAACAAAAGGTTTAGATGCTGATATTGACGCTTCAAAACGGCGAGCAACGATTTTTTGCAGCGTCAACATCAATGCTGTTTTTCAATAAGCACGATCCAATTTCCCCTTTCTCTGATTGGTAAATCGAGGCAGTGCTGTTCTCACACCTTCTGAAGAAGAAGAAGAAGAGGTTTGAGAGTGAAAAGTTCCACAGAAAGGTGAGTGTGCATTTATCAAATGTGTGAACTGTACATAACTGTATACTATTTTGCACAATGACACCATTTCTCCCCTGAATTGAAATTTCTGGTAGAAATGCAAAGTTCAGTTTGTGCCACATATACATAGTTTTTACTTTCACTTTCAAATTCCCAGTTATTTTTCTGCTGCTGTGGACTGCTTTAACATAGAATCTCCTTTAGCAGATTTAGTTTGAGATTGTGGTAGCTACTGATTCATCAATTGACTGTTTGGGTTCATTGATTTGATTTGGAGTTTTGGCTTGAAGTTAACTATGTGGCTTTGGTTCATTGTATTCAACAATTGCTTTTAGCTATCTCACTCATAAATATGCTTTTGATTTGAAATCTGCCTAACATTTAAAGTTAGTCCAAATCTTTAGACCTTCAATCATTTCTTGAAATCTAGAGGCTTGAATCAGTCCAATTTTAGGTAACCAAACTGTGTTGGACTAAGTTGAATTTAGTTTTGATTTGCCAAGAAAGGAAAACTGAGGTTGCTTATTGAGCTTTGATCAAAAGTGGGGGGGCCTCTCTCTTTTTTTTGTTTTTTTTTCCTTGTGTGGATCATGGATTCATTTGTTAAAATTATAGCTTGCTTTACTTTTTCAAAAGTGCACTTGGAGCCTATCACTTATCATTTTTTAGTTTCTTGTACTAGTTTGCCACCTTTGGTCATTTTTAGTTGATGGGATTATGTTTAGATACATTACTTTATGCAACACAATTTCAATGGATTGAATTATAGGATTAGATATATAGATTAAGTTTTATTTTAAGGTATCATTAATTTTGCCCCATGATCCCTCCTGTATTTCCCTTTATTACTAAGTGGGATAGATTGGATTGAATAGAGCTTGAGGTTGTTCAAAAATGATGATGTTCTTTTTTATGTTGGAGCTCAATCCAAGAACATTTCTCTGAGTTCGATCAAAGCTAATTAGAGCTTGATTATTCGAAAAGTATCAAATTTAAAACTAAGATAATCTTGAATGTGCATAATTAAGATGTTTATTTTAAGACCTAAGCATTACTTACCTTTTTGATAGGCTCAGTCTCTATCTAGAAAGTCCCATACTTTTTTGATCCACTTTGATGACTTAGAAATGAGAATGAACAAGGTAGGTAGCAGACAATAATTAGTGACCATTACACAGAAGGCTGTTTGTATTATTTGGTGCTCATAACTTACTACACATAAATTCGAAGAGAAAATAAAAAGGTATTTATATGCCGAACCTCCGCTACATAACTGTAAAGTTTACCAAGTTATGGTCTTAGTCAACACAACACAAGTTAACACAAATGTGCCGAGTTTAATTGTAGTATGTGTTATATGGACTATTATTATGCATTGTCAGTTCATATGTTTGTATTTATAGTTTGTCCCTCGATGTACCCTTTATTACATACATGGTTTAGAAAAGTCGATGGATTGAAGATTTATGTTTTAGTTTTATTTACTTAGACGTTAAAGGATTTAATAAGATGATATGATAATTTTGTCTAGTGTTATCCAACTGTAATTGGATTTATAACCAAAGATAGTTACTTAAAGAAGATGTGTTGTGGATAAAGTGAACAAGAAAGTAAGCCCCCTTTTTGGTGGTTTGAGGGACACAATTTTGTTGTACATTGCTAGTCTATTTGTTTCTTGATTTGGTAGATCATATATTATCTCAAATCATCCTATTGCTTGTATCGAATAGAGTGTGTTTTGTTTGTCTTTAGACGAGTTTGTTATTTGAAAATTGTTAAATAGAAAATATATACTACATCCGTCCGATTCTGAGGTCTCATTTACTTTTTGCGAAAAAATACTTCCATTAGTATCTTATAATAATAGATATTTGTACAGAAAAATTATACCAATATAAAGATATTTTTAATGTTAAGTATGACGTAAAAGGTAAATGTGACATTTAGATAGTATTTTTTTATGATTTAGCATGCTGAAATTTTCATCATGTAATACTTCGAAAATAATTACATATGATTGTATAGAACCATTTGCATACAATTTTCATGTGTCCAAGAAGGTTGTCTATTTATTTTAGAGAATATTTTTGAATGGTTGATTTATTAGTTTTAAAATTTATAAATATCTAAAGAAATTAATATATATTGTAGTGTAATATTGTATATGTTCGATATAATATATCAAAATATTATCATTCGTCCAAATACGATATACTATCAATTTTATTTATAAATAATATTTAGAAATAATAACATTCTTTGATTGTTAATTTTAAAATTTAGAGAATAAAAGTATTTGACTAAATTTTTTTGTAATAATGAAATTACATCATTTTTATATACTCATCCCATCATATTATTGATTTATGATTTAAAATATTACATTATATTATCGAAACATATATGTTTATTATCAATATCAATTCAGTTTGTTTATACAATTTATATTAATATTTAATATATTAATTTTTTATATTTTGGATATATTTGGTTTTCAAATAATGTTATTATTTTTTTCTTAATTAAAATAATTATTTTTTATTTAATTTTTAAATTGTTCTGATCATTATGAGCTATCATATTAGGATTTAAATGGATCCAACTATATATATATTAATTCAATACAATGAACTCATACTCAGCACCATATCGGCATAAACACCACAAGTTATTATTGAATTCATTGCCATTCTTATTGTTTGCAGATGTTTTATTCCATTTTTATTATTCATAATATATATTTAAAATATTTCTATTATTTTGAAAATTATTTATACGTAAATACTAAAATAATCTTAATATTTACACAAATATTTATGTTATTTGTTTATTTAAAAACAAAAATATCAAAATTATTTTATATATTTTTACTAATAAAAAAATATTACTCTATTTGTCCGTATCTAAAATCACATTTAACTTTTGCGTAATATATTTAATATTAAAAATATTTTTATATTTATATAATTTTTTTTATAAATAACCTTTTTTACAATTTTTTATTTATTTGTACTGCGTTTCTATATAAAAATATTAAAATCCCATATTTGATTTTTATAAATTCACAACAGCCAGCGACAAGAGAAAAGAAAACGGTGCGACGTTGAAAGCGCAGTTACTCTGTCTAGCGCTTTTCGCCATGTCTTTTAACGTTTTCTAAATGGCGTATTCAAAACCACGCTTTTTGTCCTCGGTCGCCCATATAATAGAATAGTATGCCCCGACCGACCCGCAGCTGTAATGGCTGACTGACTGGAGCGGAACTCATTTTGAAGTCAGTCCAATCGAAGCGCAGGAACCCAATCAACCGTATTCGCACCGATCAGATCTCCTTTTTCCTCTCTGGATCGGACCTCTCCCGAGATCTAGCCACCCAGCCATGCCCGTGGCAGCTTCCGCCATTTACTTTCTCAATCTCCGCGGGGATGTCCTCATTAATCGTCTCTACCGCGACGATGTCGGGTCAGTCACTCCGCTTTTGAAATTTTGGGTGTATATTTACCTGTTGATTTGCTTGTGTTTCTGTGGAATTTGAGTTTCCATTCAATTTCGAGTGCGTGGTCGAATTATGCTGTTTATGGTTTTTTTTTAAAATGTTTTGAGGCTCTGAGAGGAATTTGAGTTGATGTCGGTGAATGCAAGAGTTTAGCTGCGGCGTTGTGTACTGTTTGGAAATTGAATGGAATTCGGGTTCAAAGTTGTTATTGAAAATCATGTGGTGGACAACATTTTGAGGTTTTTAAACATTTGTTTATTTGGTACAAACGCAATTTCTAAACTAGTCTTTGTTGGGTGAGGTTATCACTAATCGTTCCACCGAGCTCTTAATGATGATACTAGTCTCTTCTTCGGACTGTTTTTCTGTATACAAAAGAAGAGCATGTTTTTGGGTGCTTTTAAACTGCAAATGGCAAAAGTAAGGTAGAGGGTTTTAGCTTAAAACTCAAGGACAGGTGAGTTTGTAATGTTGCATACTTGTTCTCAAAATCAATGAACTCAATTGCTACATGGCCTGCGGAATCCACTGCTTGGGTCTATGTGGACATATGGTGATCCCCGAACCAGTACCTAGTCTGCTGAAGTGGATTGAGAATAGAAAAAAACTCCAGGGATTTTAAATTTTGTCATAGTTCACATTGTAGGCGAGCAGAACTAGATTTTGTTCTGGTGTATCAAATGATATCTTCTATAAGAATTTTATACAGTAACTACACGTGAAAAATTGAAGATGTATAGCAGAGAAGAAGCATTAGCATTCATGATAGTATTGTACTGTTTAGTATCTTGCAAGTGCTCCTATTCTTCCAACAACCTTTCGATTAAATGGTCAATAGGAGTGTCGACAGCTTGCATTAGGAAATGATGGCTCTATAGTCTGTCTTCAATTATCGTTTTAAGTTTTGGTTAAAAATTGGTTATTTGGAATGAACTGAGAAAATGAAACTAATACGAACTTGTTATGCGCTTATTTTTAAAATTTTTTTTATTATCAATGTAGCACTGTAAGGTTGAACTGCACATCACCCTATGACGAAAATTTCAACCATTTTTTGCACTAGCCAGATCAGTTGCATCACACATGCAAAGTATACGTCCTTTTGACTCCCATGGGACCTAACATTCACCATTGGTTTGTGGCACTGCCGTATGAAATGAATCTTTAATCACATGATTTTAAAACCATATGAATTTATCATCACATGATCAAATCAGCGTCCTCCTTACGATCTATCAAATACATGGAACATTTTTATCTATGCAAATTTGTTTCACATGTCACTGCCACCATTTCTTGAGCTAGTGTTTAGTTTATTTATTTCATCTGTATTGGTTATGTATTCAGTATTTCAGTTATATTTGAAACTCCATTATTTAAACTTTTGGATGAAAATAATAAAGCTGCACGCTCTTAAGTTTCTTCATTTTTTATTGCAACAGAGGCAACATGGTGGATGCTTTCCGAGTGCATATAATGCAAACAAAGGAACTTGGCACTTGTCCTGTACGGCAGATTGGTGGCTGCTCATTCTTTTACATGAGAATTAGCAATGTTTACATTGTCATTGTTGTGAGCAGCAATGCAAATGTTGCCTGCGCTTTCAAGTTTGTTGTTGAGGTATCTCTCCTGCCAGGATAACTTTCTAGTGTATTTTTCCATTATAAATTTCTCTGTCTTTAGTCTTCTTGGAGATATTCTTTCAAGACATTTTGTAATTCGAGAAGTTAATATATTTGCTGCTTAGGTAAGAGACTGGAAATAACTCATTGTAGTTCTAACCATCATCATCTAGTATTTGCTGAATTTCTACTTATAAGTTTTTTGGTTTCTAACATAGGTCATTCATTTCTCCTATCCCTTACCAGTACTTTCAGATAGATAATCAGTTTTTGGGCAGTGTAATCTTGCTTGCCTATTTTTATATTGCTATAACTTTGAACATACTATGAATAAGTGTTTAGTTTGCTGACATTTCTTTCTGCTCTATGTGCAGGCAGTCCAATTGTTTAAATCGTACTTTGGTGGGGCTTTTGATGAAGATGCAATCCGCAACAATTTTGTTTTGATATATGAGCTCTTGGATGGTATGGGATTTGGAGAAGATTTTTTTTATCCTTAATAGAGATTTGGAGAACACTTGACTTTTGCATGTTTCCCTCCTTTTATCTATTTATATACTGTTATTTTGCACAGGCTATTAATTAGAATGTAGGATTTGGATATGATCATAAAAACATCCATCTAATTCCCCCTAGTTTGCTTGTTCTAGTAACCAGATGGTACTGGCAATTATAAAATTCTCTTCACAAGTTGTCAACTTTTATGAGTTATTTATATATATATATATATATATATTACTTTTATCTTCTTCTTCTTCTTTTTTTTTTTTTTTTTTTTTTTTTTTTTTTTTTTGTCATGGAAAAATGCTGTAAGAACCTAAAAAGGATATTGATAATATCTTAATGAAGTCAAATAATCAAATTGACTGAATAAATGTTACAAGATTCTCATGGTTTGCATTTATTTGTAGAAATCATGGATTTTGGCTACCCTCAAAATCTTTCGCCTGAAATTTTGAAGCTTTACATAACTCAAGAAGGTGTACGGTCTCCATTTTCATCCAAGGTTAGATCTTTCATCATAATTATCTTATGAATGAATCAGATGTTAACAGCAATAATGTGAAAATCTACATGCAATATATGTTTGTGCATGCTCTAATTGGTGGATCTTCCTCAAATTTTCCTTATGGTATTGCAAGGCTGCCGAGAAACCTGTTCCGAATGCGACTTTACAAGTTACTGGTGCTGTTGGTTGGCGCAGAGAAGGACTTGTCTATAAGAAAAATGAGGTAGTGATTTACATTATCATAGTATTCTAATATTCTGTGATTTTTATTTATTTATTTTTTTGGCTACTGTATAAGGTGGATTAAAGTAATTTTTTTTTTTAATTTTCTTATTTTATCAAAACAGGTGTTTCTTGATATTGTGGAAAGTGTCAACCTTCTTATGTCTTCGAAAGGTATGCATACCATTTATTTTGATTTTTTTTACTTTATGTTTATGCCTGCTTTCTTTTATTATTATTGTTATTTTTATTTCTATTTTTATTTTTTCCCCGTGGCATCTATTTACTATTTAAGCTTTTATGATTCTTATTCATTTTAATTGTTGCTAACTTTCTGCCATTTGACTTTGTAGGTAGTGTCCTACGATGTGATGTTACTGGGAAGATTCTCATGAAATGCTTCCTTTCTGGGATGCCTGACTTGAAGTTGGGATTAAATGATAAAATTGGACTTGAGAAAGAGTCGCAGCTTAAATCACGTCCTGCTAAAAGGTATTATGTTCATTGAATCCTTCACGAAACATCCGCCAGTGCAAATTTAATGAAGACATGCCATTGAATATGCTTAGATAAGTACTTTTGAATGAAAATGAATAATAAAGACAGGGTTTTGTGACAAATATACTACCCTTGCTGGGAGCTTTGAAGAAAGATTCAAACAACTTTGTTCATGAATATGAACTGTTTGCCTACCTCCCAGGTGTAACTGGTTAATATCCTGAATTATTGGAGAATTGTACATATCAGGCGATAGGTCCCTCTTTTTCCACTCTTTGATTAGTTTCTTAGTTGTTCCATGGTTTAATAAGCACTTGAAATTTTGTAGATTATTTATTCATATAAATTAGTTGTTAGTTTGAGGTTTTATTCAGATACTCTTTTGCAGATCTTTATCGCACAGAGATACACCTTGGAAATATGTTAGAACAGATTTTGCTATCTAAATTCATCTCAAGTTTTACCTTATTTTTTAGTGATATTTTCCTCTCTAGATATATATTTTAATAAAATAGAATTTATCATTGTATTGTTAGCATTATATACTCATTTATACTCTAAAAGCCAGTTACATCTAAAGCCAATATTCCTTAGATGGTTTTTGGCTTGGCTGTTACTACTAACCAACCCCTATGGCAGTTTGTTTACACACATTTGAGAGTGATGCAAGATCCCATCTTGATAAATTTGCTTGCTATGTTTTTTTGTGCAGTGGTAAAACTATTGAGCTTGATGATGTCACTTTTCATCAGTGTGTAAACCTGACAAGATTCAATTCAGAAAAGACAGTTAGTTTTGTTCCTCCAGATGGTGAATTTGAATTGATGAAGTAAGTTTATGTATTGCATTGCCATTATATTTTTATTGTGCAAAAATAGAATTTCCCAAACTTTGCATCTGCACTGTATAAATATTGAAGAGTGCATGTAGTTCGATTTTATTATCTCGTTAAGTTCTAACACCCAAACAGGTTATCTGATGCAACATTTTCATTTGTCCCTATCGTATTCTTATAGTTTCAAATGACCATAAGTAGGACAGGTTTTGGCTTCCACAGTTTCCAATGATTTTTATAATGAATTCTAGAATAATTTTCCTTCTTTGAGAGGCAATTGTGTGCCCGATCAATGACTCATTCATTATGGCAGAGAATGTTTGAAGTTGGATGAGGCAATTATTTGAACTTCTTATTACTTGAAGCATTCTTAGTTTCCTATGTTTAGCGTATCCTTTTGAACCTATTTAGAAACAGATGGGTTTATATTATTTATTACTTTCTGTCGCATAAGTTTAAGATCCTTACCCGTAGGTATCGTATTACGGAGGGAGTTAATCTTCCATTTCGGGTTTTGCCAACTATCAAGGAATTGGGTCGAACACGAATGGAAGTGAATGTGAAGGTTAGTATATAATTTCTTTTCATACACTGTTAACAATTTCCAGGACATGTTTTACAGGGTCGTTAACCTTGTAGGTGAAGAGCGTTTTTGGAGCAAAAATGTTTGCACTGGGAGTGGTCGTTAAAATTCCAGTACCAAAGCAAACAGCAAAAACAAGTTTTCAGGTGACATCAGGAAAAGCAAAGTATAATCCTTCTATTGACTGTTTGGTTTGGAAGTAAGTTTTTCTTTTGCAACACATTTACATTTTTTTTGCATCCAAGTTCACTTCCTCGCCGCAAAGTTAGTGCAAAGGCACAATCTACAATGAAGAGATATATGCACATTAATACGCTGGTTTTATTCCAACATGTTGCACTGGTTGCATGACTTGGTGGTGGACAGCTACAGAATTTTGAAATGTCATTTTTTGCTTTCTTATCTTTCTTTTCTTAGATTAGAATAAGATTTCTGCAACTAGCCTTTGAAGCCCTTTTTGCACTTCAACCGTGGAACTTTTGTCTTGGTTTGGAATTGAGCTGGCCAACATGACCATTTTTATTGATGAACTACTTTAGGTTTCTGAACAATCAGATACTTTGTGTCTTAGTAAGTCTGATTATTGGCATGTTGGATTCTTTGCAGGATACGAAAATTCCCTGGACAAACTGAACCTACATTGAGCGCAGAAGTAGAGTTGATTTCCACAATGACTGAGAAGAAATCTTGGACACGACCTCCTATTCAGATGGAATTTCAGGTGCCTTATCTAGTCGTACACTATATAGGACTATTACAGAGTGTCAGCATTAATTTATTCAGGCTGTGCCATTATGCATATACAAGATTTGCGGTGAATATTTGGAACATTAACTTCAGCCATGGATTTAAGCTTTATTCTTAACTTTCATCTTCAAAGTTCTCCAGTCGGCAGTCCTAATTGAAGTATCTGTACCAACATCAGATTGCATTTGTTTATAGTACCGTGCTGCATATATCTGTTTTTCAGTTTTTGCTAATTGTCTAAACCCATATGTGTGACAGGTTCCTATGTTCACTGCATCCGGACTTCGCGTTCGTTTCCTCAAGGTACTCAACATTCCCCGTGTATTCTTACATCTAACAAATTATTGTCTTCCATTCATTCCTGTAACTTTCCGGCAGGTGTGGGAAAAGAGTGGATACAACACTGTCGAATGGGTGCGTTACATCACAAAAGCTGGTTCATACGAAATCCGGTGCTAAAACTAAACTAAATTTAAACCTGGGATTTCTCCTGTGGCCTGTTTGGGGAGAGCAATGCCTATATTCTCTTGCTGTACAACTTACATTTGGTTTGGCTTCAAATTGAAGGCAGGCAAGTCTCCTACGCGTACGCGTAATTCTTGGTTGTAGAATTTATTCACTGGGAAAACAAATAAGTAACAGAATGGTAAGTTTTTGTTTTTTTACTTCGACTATGGTGCTTTTGATGGATTATTCGAAAATGGTGTGAGAAATATTGGGTGTTGTATAGAGATTAGCTTTAGGGATTTTTATTAGGTTATAGAGTGGAACATTTGCTGTTCTTTCTCTAATATTTGGCTGGCTTGTCATTGTGTGAAATATGGACCAATTATTGATAGTGTCGTTTCAAAATTTGTGTGCTTATTAATCTTATATTTCTTCCATGTTCTTTTCATTATTTATTTATTTATTATTGTTTTTTTATGACGTGCCAATCGGTAGTCACTATCCTAAAGCTCGCACTGTGTAAATTTTTGGTCGAGTCTAATACTTGCAAATTAGATCCGATATACAAGTTACAAATCATGTGGAGTTTTAACTTAATAATCCCTCACCAGTATAATTATTGTTTAGCATAAATAAATAATAGAAATATTTTATATTCTAGAAACTATTAAAATAATTTTAAATTGTAATAGTTTTATTTAAAAATAAAAGAAATGGGTTTATTGTTAAAATGTGGAGAATGATTCAATTATAGCTAATCAATTTTAATTAAATATGATATGATTTAAATTAATATAGAATGTGTTAGTGTTGATTTGTCTACTTAAATTAATATTATTATGTGTTTATTTTGACCGTAATTTCTCACACAAATATCAACGTTAAAATAAAAAATAAAAAATAAATTATTTATTTAAAATAAATAGTAGTATTTCATAAAAACAGATCCCGGACGAGGTGCATAATTGGGCCGGGTTGGTAAATCTGCTCCAATTAGCATAATATATATATATATACATAAACATGCGGTTTAGGGTTTGAAGCGCCGCCTCTTCGAGCTGTGCCCTCTTAGGCTCCAAATTAGGGTTTCTCCTACAATTGCTATAAATTCCCCATATCCGATCTTAGCCTACACAGAAATCGTTTTTAGAGATTTGTTTTATGGAAGATTTCCTGGTCTTGGCTTATTTGATTGAAGTTTCTTGTTTTGCTTAGTTTGTTCGATATGCTATGATGAATCTTTTTTTTGAGCCGGAGGCGTTATTCGTCGGGGACGGCACTCAAACCCTCTAAGAAGTTCTGAGCTTTGTCGTTAATTTTGTTAATATTTTTTTGGCGTTTGATTTGGTAAATTGCAGCGAGGTGACGATGAAATTCATGAGTCTGTCAATCCACTGATTTCATGTGATGTTAACCGTGAATCCCGACAGGTTCTGATCGCTGATTTCTCTTGTTTTCGGATTCCGATTCGTAAATACGTACAAGCTTGTTTAGATCTGTGACTCTCTTCCTTGATTTTTCCAAAAATCGTTTTCTGTTTTAGCAAGTTACGCGAATATGCTTTGGTTGATGTAGCAAATGAGGAATTTCCTATCAAAATGGGTAATTTGCGTCTGAAGTTCATATATGATGCTAAATTCACCTTTGGAGATCTGATGCTTTTCCATCCAGTTTACAGCTATTGGTTTGGTTGATACTGTTGATTGCCTTATTTGATCCGAATTTCTATTTTATAGTGTAGTTTACTTGTTTGATTTTTCCTGATAACAGTATTCAATTAAAGATAAGCCTTTCCGGGCATATGATGAAAACTACTGTGAAAATGGGTAATTTGCGTCTGAATTCAATCTTGATGCGAAATTCACCTTGGAGACCTGATGCCCTCAGATTAATCTTAGTAGATGAGTAGTTTGGGCTACTGGTGGCTAGAAATTTTGGATTTATTTGAAAATATAAAAAATTACAGTATTTGAAATCATGTGTTTTTGAAATTTTATAATTGTGTTAGAATTTTCAGAAGTCTACGTGTAAAAGGAGTTTTAGGTTGTGTTGGTTGGAGGATTTTTAAAGACTGTCAAATTTCACCAACCAAAGACACCCTTGTAAACTTTGATCAATGTTTGCCCGAAATTGCCCAAAATCTTCATCTTAAAAAATTTGTTTGCATTGGTATTTGATTTTATGTTGTGAAGCTCTTATAAAATATCTGCACATATCGAAGGTTTCATGGTTTGAAATTATTCAAGAAAACTATGGAGCTCATAAATTGTGCTATATTGATTGTCTACCTACTAATTTGTGGCTGTCTGCTTGATTCTAACAAGCTTTCACAAGTGTATTCATACAAGATAGCACATGATCTCTTTCACAGTTTCATGAATTTGATTTACATTGGATACTAATTGTTCTATTCATGATATATTGTTGTTTTTATTATAATTAAAAAAAAGTGTTGAAATCTGTATTCTTGGTCCTTGTTCTACTTGCTATAAGCAATGGTTGCTGAGTGTTGTATTATTATTTCAATTTAGTCTTTTTTTTTTCTTGTCATTATATTTTGTTACAATGAACATTCTGTATTTATATACATCTCGAGTTGAATATGTTGACTAATGCAAATTAATTTTATTATTATATTCTTAAATATGTATTAGTTATATATCTCTTTCAATGTTATTTTATATCCAGAATCATCATGCGTGAGTGAGTGAGTTAACCAAACTGTACAAAAACATGAGATACCATCAAGCCATTTTTTTGGGGGACAATTTATTTTGATTTCTCGTTCAATTTTATTTAAACGATTTTATATGATATTGTATTCTTTCTTGACGAAGCCAAAGAATTTTTCAAATTTTGATTAAATCTATTCGTTAATTTGTTGGAATGAATTAAGGAGCTAACAATAGGTATATAAAAATAGTACACATTGCAAATAAAAAAAAATAATAATTAGAATTAATTGATAACATCTATTGAATTTAAAATGTTTTGAGTTGTGTTTGAATGGATATTCAATGATATACGCCATTTTGATAGAAAACATGTAACAATTACACAGTAAACAATTTTTTTTTAAACAAATCAAAAAATGATAAGAGCATGCAAAAATGTAATGAAAGATAAAATTAACCATTGGATAGCGTATTACACAATAGACGACCAGAAAAGCTTTATTATACACCTTTTATGAAACACTTGAAAGTAAATTAGTTGTTTATATTGAGATTAAGATCATCATCACAAAGCAAAGCTCACCGGCGGCGGTTTCCGGGAGCGGCTGTCGCCGGAGAAAGAGTCCATAAAGTCAATGAGTTTAAACTCCGGCAGAAGGATTGCCCGAACCTGCAGCTACAACACCCATCCCACCCTCGACCGTGGCCCCAACATTTTTTGCCCCACTTATTTCCACAAGTGCAACTTTGTTGCCATCCATTTGATGCACGAGTTCGTCGATTTTTCTGAACTGAAATGGCCATCTCGTGTTGTAAAGGAATTGGCGCAAATCGAACCGGTTATCCTCAGGTGAGTAACTCTGCAAAAACATGCGTATCAAATGATTTTATTGAGTATCTATACAACGTTTCTTGGAAAAAAAAATATATACCTTTTTTTGTAAAACATAACATGAATTATTATTATTTACATGAGAAAAATCAAATCTCACCAAAACTCAATTCAGATGGAAAAGATAGCAAAAGAGGTGCGTACCTCTGCGTGATATGAAGGTGTTAGGACTGTCATCTTGTGTCGATTGATGGAATAGTACTTGAAGAAATATTTAACTTTCTCGGAGATCTCGGCTGGAGTCAACTTCGATCCCCATTTGTAACAAAGATTCTACAGCGACACAACATGGAAAGATACATAGGAAAGATGATCATTGAGTGAATGCAATCAAAAGAGAAGATGTACAAACTACCATAGCTTTTAAGATTTCATGTCGAGAAATGTACAAACACATTGTCAGTGTGCATTTTTATCGAGTTTGCATACTATGGGATTTCTACTAAGGGTACTAGAGACATTGTATAAAGCCATATTGTTTAACACAATGTACGATTTTTGTGCGATCATGTCAGTGGCAGTACTTTCACACTACAGTCATCTCATACTATTTAATATATTCGATAATAGCTCTCTCGTCTATCAAATGGTTCTATGATATTTGCAACATTTTCTTTTTAATTTTACATGATCAAAGTAAGGTGGTTAAAGGGAGAGGGCAGTTCAAGAAAATAGAGACAGACAGACCTTAAACATAGATACAGGTCCACAGCGGAAAATCTTGCGCAGCCTACCGTACACCGAGAGTTCTTCGTATGTCATTCCCATATCCACTTCATCGAGCTATTTCAAACGATATACATACGTTGTGAGATTGAAATATACACGTGTGATTGCAGTAAAGCTATTTTAACGATGACAATGTACGTATAACAACTCAATCAAAAAATGTCACAGACAACATAAACAATTGCTAGAAAGGCGAAATGAGATATGACTATATATGTACCTGGCTGTAATTGGATCGTATTGGCTCCAATTCAGCAGTTGGAGGAGCAGCTTCAACCTCTTTTAAAGATGAATAACCGAGATGGACAGCTGCCCATCTCAAAAACCTTCGCAGGTCCTGCTTACTGATACTTCCAATTGGGTTTACATCAGCAGAACTGCAATCATACTGAGTAGTATAACAGTTATTCCATGGGGCAAGGCATTGTTTTTCGATTCGAGTAAAAGAAGCCACTAGAAATGCACTAAGTAGCTAAATGGCATGAAATAATAGAAATAGACCTTGTTAAGAACCTTTGTAGAAGTACCTTAGTTAAATACCCACGTAATCCTTCATCTACGTTGGAGCTTCCCAACACAAGGTAAAAACCAGGTTTGCTATGAACCCATGGCAGAAGTGATGCTAGCATAAATGCTAAGACCATTCTTATTCGAGCCTGGATGTTTTGCAGTCCTAAATTTTCAATGTGTGAACCACCATCCACCTGAGGATAATTAAATAAGAAAGTGATTGGAGAAGTTAAGAGATATCGTACAAAGCATGGCATGCGACATACTCATAATTACATGCACTTGTATAAAATTAACTTCTCTAATCCCATATACAGATTTGCGGCAAAAGCATATATTGAAGATTTTAGCCTTTGGGTTTTGACCTTGTAGCGTGGTCTTTTTCCTGTAAGTGTCTGAAACAGAGAGATCAGGGAAGAAATCACTCCATCAATCGAGACATCCAGATGCCATGACCCAATTTCTTCCGCAAGTATCTTTGCCCTTGATCTTGTGGCATCAGAACTGACAGGCAGAACTTAAAGATGAAAATACAAGCAAATAGTTTAACTAAAAAGGCACACTACACATTGGCAAAATGTACAGGATAAGAAGACAAGCCAAACTAAACTTCTTACCACATAGAGCCATAGATGCAATTATCTACTTTATTTGTCGACTAGAAGAAAATTGTATGGAGAAGAGAAGTGAAACGAATTTCTCAAACTACAATTAGTGTGGCTTAATCTACCACAATCAATTATCATAGTTGAGTTTTATTAGATAAGTTTGAGATTGCACAACTGATCGAAACAAAGTGGAAGGTTTGAGAGTGATATATTTATCAGAACCATAGGTGCCAATTGCACTGTAGATATTCGATAGTTTGGTCAGAGTTTATTTTGAATGGAGATGCTTGGAACTAGTTTCCTGTTTCCATTTGTTTTTTTCCTTTTTAACATAGGTGCCATATAGCCTATATAGACGGATATGGACACCCTAACAAGGGCGTGAATATTGATTACCATATTTTGTTCGAAGTAACTGGTAAAGATAGATTAAATTTTTTTTAACTACATCCAGGCCATAACTTAATATATTTTTCCTTAAGGGTGTACATCAGATTTTTACTACAAAGCTTTGGGTCGCATATAGTAATAATGTTTCATCTATTAGCACGGGTAAAAGCTTGCGAAAGAATATATGTGCCCAATCTATTCTTACCTATTTTCAGTTCCCATGAATACTGTGTAGAATACACGCTTAGCAAACTCCCTGCTGTCCTTTGGAAATTGTCCATCGGTATAATGGCCAATTCTTATAGCATCAGCTTTGACTTGTTCATCGCCATTTGATATGTCTGAGGTAATAGTTGATCCAGAAATCAATATATACACTATGAAAATTTCTGACATTACGAATATTTGTGACTACAGATTGGCGCACGAGCAAATAACTCAATCTAAGTATTAATTTTGCTATTAAAATTTGTTAGAAGTTAATAATAGTGAAAGGAAATAGCAAAGCAGGTAGCCCATTTTCATTTCTGAGTTTTCACTTCAACAAGACGAACATGTCTTATGGACTTCTACATTTTTTCATGAATATTATGAAGTTCAAAAGGAATATCAAGGTAGGAAAACACTTGCCCAACAGAATCAAACATGTGTTGTGCAATAACTAGATTCCTTACTTTCTTTTACTGCTAAATTAAAAAAAAAAAAAAAAAAAAAACTTTTTCTTCCAAGCAGATGAACAGTGAATTTCTGAGAAACATCTTCAAGCATAAAGAAGTTTTTGAATATAAATAAAAATACAAGCCCCAACCACAAAGCACATCATTCAAAAGCCTGTAGGTTGACAATCTAATAGAGATCAAATAGTTAAATAAAATTCACCTTTTACCACTAGCTGGCACATGCAACCGACTATGGCAGCAACAGCTGAGCTATCCGCTCCACCAGAAAGTGGAAGTAAGAAACCAGATGCACCACTTCTTCGCAGATAATCCCATAGCCAACAGCCTGGCCCAAACGCTATTTCCTCTTCAGGAGAATGATATTGAATCTGAGAAGAATGGTATGGTTCTGAGAAATCAAACATATAGGTTGGAGATACTGATTGGACAATGTCAAATTTAAAGCGGAAATTATAAATAACAATACAAAATTCATTCAGAACTCATAATCTCATAAAGACAATTAAAGATCAAACTCATTTTAGTGCTACTTGAATGACTTAACAGTGATCATTCATATATATACTTAATTAACAAAGAGATGTTATTCAGTATCTCAGTGCTACAAACAATTTCAAAAAGATCCTTCAATACGGCCTTGTTTACTAACCTTAAGTGGACTTGAAAGAGACATCTGGCGATTAAAAGACTCGCAGAGTTTGTAAGCAACAGCAACTGAGGGAACTCTAATTTTATGACTGGCTTGTTCCTGAAAGCTACTGATAGATCCTCTAAGACTGGCTACCTGCACTCACATTACAGTAGAATATAACATGCAGCATACCTTCCAGAATTAATGGATTCTGCATACTCTCAGCTCATTACTTTAAAGTTGCAATGAGCACTGTTGGAAGAACATATTATAATTAAGAACGGCCAAGCATTCCCAAAGAAATAAGAAAAACAGCATATAACCCATAGAGTGAACATGGTGAACTAAGTAAGCATAATATTTTACAGAAACAAGTTATTAACAAAATAAGAAACCCGCGCTCCCCTACATCCTGCCTATAGCCCAGTTGAGATAGAACATACCGCATCTAGATCTACTTGAGCAACCGCCAATTCAACATCCCTAAGGGAAAACTGTGAGCCTTGGGCAACTACATCCCCATTCACAACTACACAAGCACATCCATCTGCATACAAACAGTTGTTGAATATGACATCCTTGGCAAGTATTCTACGCTTTCTAGTACCATAATAATCATAAAGTAGTAAGAAAAGCAAAATTCTTTAGTATTTAATATAACTTAATTGGGAATTGATGTGTTTCATAAGTAAACCACCTTCTGCTAATGTGAAAATTTGAGCACTGTTGAAACTGGTAAATGACTATATGGTTGATAAACGTATTAATATACAATATATATTATTTTTGTACTTGATGCAACATATAGCGACAATATGCAGTGTAAAAACAAAAATCATACCCACCATAATACAACCGTCCACCATCGCAACCTTGTTGATTGCTATACATGTAAACTCCTCCACGGGTATGTGTTGCACCTATAAAAGCACGGACGCGAAGATCAAGTTTCCGCAATTGATGGTGGCTTCCACTAGCATTCATAAAAACTTCAACACCATTTAGTGCAAGCTCCGCGTGAGGGGGCATAGGACAAAAAAGTTCCTCGCAAACTTCAGCTGCAACAGCTCTGAGCAAAAGTCAAAATTGAACATTAGAAATATAACAATTGGCACAAGCCAGAAGCCAGATAGTGCATTGTTATCAGAATATGCACCACATACCACCTGGTTACAATGACGCAAAGTCACAGTTAAACAGAAGACTAAGCAATAAGAAGTGGGAGAATCATTCAAAATACACTGTAGATGGTAGAACCAAAGTCGTCTCAAGGGTGACGAGGCATAAATATAATTCATCAAAAGAAAATTAGTACTGTTTCATAATCAGCATTAAACTAATCTATTCTCTTATAAATTCCATGCATTGCATTTCTACCTAAATTAAAAACGAGCAACCATGCTCTCTTTAAACCTTTACAAATTGCACCCGAGATATAACATGTTGGAGAAATTAAACATAAATTGCACCCATTATGACAACATGATCAATGTTCAAGACTTTACGAAACCATTGATCTGAAAGTTGGATGTGTTGAGAGGAATAAAATTGGTTAGCTGATTTGGTCATTAGCAGGGAATACCAGAATTATATTAAATAATTGGTAAAAAGGAAAATTACTTAAAACCATATATACATGTGGAAAGATAAAAATTGAATTAAGAAGATACGATTGCTTACGTATCTAGAAACTGAAGATATCCATAGCCAAAAGGCACTGTCTTTTGAGACAGAGCCTCGGCAATATCAGCTGGAAGAAGAAAGTCGTCCAGATGTTCCCTCTGCTTCCATGCAGTAAACCATCTAAGTTCCCGGTAGTTTCCATCATTTGCAAGCCACATTTTTGGGCGTATCATCAGAATTTTTCTATTCAAGCAGAGCACTTGACAATTATAACGTTCTGAATCTTTGATTATCGGCATACCAAAACTGCACAATATTCCATCTGTCCAATCACCAAGCACTAATTCTTTTAAGCATTCCCACCTACAATTTGATCCTTAAGACTGTCACAGAAAGAACACCAACAAAACAATGATCTATTCACCAGTCAAAAAACATAACAAGAAGCAGTCGTTTCATACATAAATAGCTATCGTATTATTGAAATGGAATCGAAACAAACATCATCGTGGACGGCTAATCACAAAACAAACTACTGTAAAATGCACAACTCTACCACAGCAATCACATCATAACACACACCACAATCACATCACAAAACAGCCATCCTCAAAAGGCTTAATCACAAAACAAACAACTGTAAAATGCATAAGTTTACCACAGCAACAACATCATAAGTTCATAACACACTCCACCAAATTCGATTGCTAATCAGTTATCATCCAATCCTAAATCAAACAAATAGAACAGTAAGACCCCAGCCAAACATCACTACACGTCCATAGACGTGAAAATTGCAGGCTTACGCGTGGTTCACGGTGTCGAGTTCCAAGAAATGGTCCTCGCAGCCATATCCGGTAATTTCAAGCTCCGGTCCGAGCCGAATCACGGCGCCGGCTGCTTTAGCCCTAGAAATTGAATCCTTGATGTTCTTCGTATTGCAGTCGAAATCCATTGCCCATTGATTCAAATTGCACGCCGCCACCCTGAGAAGCCTCATCGTCGACGCAGTTACCTGCAATCACACTCGCCGGCAAGCGAGAAACCACAAATTCGGATGCAATTGGAGATGACAGTGGCGACGGTGGAGTATTCCCGGCCGTTGGATTCGGTGATGTTTCTTGTTTGATGATATTCGGTTTCGGATAGTTTGACTTAAATGATTTTAAATGACCATTTGTAAATAGTATTAATACCGAGTTATTTGTAAAAATAATAAAATATAGATTGCGTTTGTTAGAACTTTGAGCACTTATTTTTAATACCATAATTATTAATTTTATTAAATTAAAATTTTATTATTAATTTTAGTTTCAATTAAATAAAAATTTATCAATTCCTTGAACTATTAAACAAGTGATATTATAGGACAATGAGGTATCACCTTCAACTGAGTAAAGGTAAATAAACGTGATCAAATCAACACTAAATGACTATTTTTTTAGCGAAAACATTTTATCATATAAGACTACTTTCATACATAATCTATTTGAAATTCTAAAATAATAAAGAATATTAGATACAAAAATATTTATCCTAAATATTTTAATGTTGATTATTGCTTTTTACTTACAATTCACTTTTTTTTTTTTTCCTTTTTTTTTTTTTTAAATGCAAGAACGTGCAACCACTATTCATAGACTTTGTTTGGATAAATTTTCCATCAAAATTAATACTTTACAAACAAATGTTCATTTGATTCCATGAGATTATATTTTGCTTTTGAGAATTTCAATACATATTTTAACAGCCACCAAAAAAACTGAATACATACTTGTATTTACTAAAAATATCTTTAGTTTTTTTTTTTTTTTTTTTTTAACTATATGATTATTTTTTTAGATATTTTTATAAAATGTTAGTATTATTTACTTTTTATAAAGTATTCTATGTATTATTTAAATAAGTAAAAAAAAAAACACGAATAAAAAAACATAGATAATCAAATTGGAATCATCAAAGTGCCTTTTATTGAATAAATTGCTTGGTTACACGAAAATATATATATATATAATAATAATTTTATTATTTGTCTTTATATATAAATAAAATAATAAAATTATTTAATAAAAATTATTAATTTATTAATAAAATATTAATTTGATTATAAAAATAATATATTGTATGACATTCTAAAATAAGTATATATATGCTTATATTATATAAATAGGAAAAAAATCAATTTTGGTCCCAATATAATTAAAATTAATCAATTTTGGTCTCAATATAAAAAATTCATTAATTTTGGTCCAAATATAAAAAACTCATCAATTTTGGTCCCAATATAAACAATTTCAATCAATTTTGGTTCTATTATAAACAATTTTTATCAATTTTGGTCCCACCGTTAAAAAACTAACGGAAATTGCTGACGTGGACATGACGGAGGTAACGTGGCAGTTGACTTGGAAAGAATACGGCTATGTACAATTATACACGACCATGTTGTTACATGGCCATGTATATTTCAGTGTATAATTATACACGGCTATGTTGTTACACGGCCATGTACAATTATACACGACCGTGTATCTTTCTGTTTTGGTCTAAAATTTTAATTTTTTTTTTTTGTAATTTAAGCAAAATTAACAATATTTTGAGTGTATGATTTTTTATTTTTTATTTAAAATATGACAAATAAAAATAATAAAAAAATACTCTAAATTAATATTATATATATAATTAAATACATATATAATAATAAAAATATAATAATAATTTTATAAAAAAAGTAAAGGCCTGTTTGTTCGTGGTTTGAATTTTTTTTTAAAATTTTTAAATAATACAGTAAAAAATATGAATATAAATAATTATTTAATATGATATAAATAAATATTAATTTTATATTTTAAAATTATAAAATAAATTTATAATATAATATAAAAATAATATAAATCCCCATTCCCATTAACAGATTTACATTCAGTCCCTAATATTAATTTTTTACACTGCACTCTCCCCTTTACAAATTTCCTTCATTTTTACTCCCTGCCCATACCAAATTAATTCTCAAACCCACTTCAAATCGTTGGTTAAATTCGCGCGATTCTTTTACCACAAAATTGAACTCCGGCGATAATCGACGATGTCGGAAGCCTTTGATTTCAGCTGTCAGCCCCATCCTTTTGGCGCCACAACCCGGCGATAAAGATCGAGAAGGGAGATCAGAGAAAGTTCTGCGCGATTTTGTCGCTGTCCACCGATGGATCTGTCTGTCGTTGTTCAGTGTTATTTTTGTGTAGATGTAAGGAGAATCGGTCGCTGCCGGTCAATGTCCGAGGCTGGTCGGGTCTGTTCAGAGGAGCGGTGCTGTCCAGCCGCGCCAAGCCGCCGAGTCGATCGATTTCATCGATGCAGGAATTGAAAATTTATTCAATTCCAGAGAAAGTGAGTACAATTATTTAAATTATCCTTAACTAGATGTGTTTGTTTGCATTTCTTCTTTTGATTTCTCTATTATGCCTTTCGTTTTTACGATGTTAATTTTAATTTCGATTCGGTATTAATATTGATTTGGATTTTATTTTAATTTTACTTCCGCTAATTTATTTTGTATTTTTTATCAGGTTTGTTCGAATAAACTTATCGATCCGGGATATATATTCACAATGATCATCCTATTTTGCAGAAAAGTTGGAGCACTCAGGTGATTCTTTATTGTAAAATTAAATGTATTGACCCTAGTAGCTTGATCTCGAACGGAAGTAATTGCAATTTTTTTGGGAAGAATTCAGTCAATATAGTAATTAAAAAAAGAAGTTGAAATTACAATTATTGCTAAATCTATTTTCACCAAATAAGTTTGTGGTCTCGGTTGGAATTGAAAATTACAATTAAAACACAAAACATCGAGTGTTTGTTTGGTTTCTATTTATTTTCTCATTTTTTTGTATTTGGGGAGGTGAGTATGGTGTATTACATGTGTTTGATTACATTTCGAACTTAAGTATGATGGACTCTAAAATATTCATATTTATGTTGATATGTATATACACCACCCCACAATTAATTGTGCAGATTATTGTTTTTTGGATTGGTTTGATTGGTGCATATAGGATGTTGTTTTACATTATTGTGACAATTGATTGTGTAGAAAATAAAACTAAAATGCTTTAGGTTATGATTTTTAAGTACATAACCTTTGTATGGTGAATGAAAAGAAATTAATGCAAATAATTTGGGGAACAACTTATTCATATGTATGCAACTTGACTGAAAGAAGCATACCTCAACATTTTCTAATCGTAGATAATGGATGGCAACAAATTGGAAGTGAGGTGACGGAAAACTCATATTGTGTAGTTCAAGAATGAGCTCAGTAAGTAAATAATTGGGTTTTATCCTATGATAAATTAATCAAAAATATTGTTTATATCTTGTACTTCTAAAGATTGCATTGAGTTTCTTCTACAGTCTAATGTTGCTATTATGTAAAAAAAATGTTGTGGTGATTGGTAAATGTAACATTGATGGATTGCCTGCAACCTTATTTATTCGGGTATTGATATATATTTTATATATAATTATAATTGATCTTAGTCTAGTAGATTTAAATTAGTGCGTAAAAATATTATATTTATGTACTCTAATTGTGCAATTAATTATATAATCACATTTGTTTCCCTAAGTTACTGAACATTAATATTTTATTCATTTATGGGCAGAAACATCATACAAAAGTGATTATTCTTCATCCACTACCGAAAATTCAGAACAAATTTTCCATGAAGCTGATATCTTAATTGCAGCCGCAGAAGTACTCAACTTGGTCTGTGGTACTTGGTTAAAGCCAGACGCAATTGTTGTATATATTTTAAGGTGTAATTTTTTATGTTGATAGGATGTCTGTCAATCATTTCTTTGTAAATTACTTTTGGTGTGCTAAACATAATGTAATATTGTACGTAAATATAGAACAGTAAAAGTGTTGTTGCATTGAAGCTCTTTTGTAAAATTGATATATTATGATAGATGAACGAAAATTGCAGGTATGTGATGATGGTCTTTTATATATGATTTGTTGACAATAAAGGTTTCTGAAAATGTAACAGGGGTACATCGGAGTTGTGTTGGAGTACTTGCCTGCTCAACCGAATCACTATTTCTTAAAATGTTTCTAACTTATTGATATTTGAGTTTGTGAGTGTGTGACAATTTGGATTATTATGTTATGGGTAAAAATATTTTAGAAAATATGTGTTTATCCTATTACACAAAAAACACTTGAAGTCCTAGTAGTAGATTACAACTCGTGTTTTCACTTGAATGTTGTTGTGTGTGTTATGGTGTGAATTACTATGTAATAGGTCTAAAGATTTTTAATTTGTGGCTGTAATTATTTACACTAACAACTAATATAATTTAACTTAGTTATTTGACTTGTTTAACCATCTACAAGTGGAGGTTGGATTATAATTGTACGTATATCATACAATATAACCAATGTATCGCGGAAATACTATCACGATGAATTTATCATTTTTTACCGACAACAAGTGAATATTTTGAACAATAAACGGTCTGTTTTCTAAGCACGGGTTATCAGAGTATATATACTCGTCATTGAAGCATATGATACCACTATTATAGGTATGTAAGATTTGTGACATGGTATATCGGTATTTGATGCAGGTATGTAAATATGTGCTTCGGGCACAAACATCGACACTCAAGGTATGAATAATGATTGCTTAGGTATTATTTGTATAGTAGCAAGTATTCGTGAGTATGGTTGATTTTAGTTGATCTACTGATGGAGAAGCCAATTCACAAACTCGGTGAGAGTACTTCATCTCTGAGCCTTGTTGGAAAAAATTAGACACGGTACGTTTATATTCGACAGCTCATGCCACACTTTTCAATGGCAAGACCACAAAACATGTAGGACTACAAAAAATATAATTTAACTAAGTCATTTATGACTTGTTTAGCCATCCATAATATATATGTGTTGTTTACATTTACATACAATTGTGGAATTCACATAAATACTATAATGATGAATTTATTATTGGTTATAGATAATAATTAAATGTTTTGAACCGAGAATGATTTGGTTCCCAAGCACATGTTTTCAATGCATGATTTACTAGTTATGAGAGCATATGAGATACTAGTTCCAGGGTATATTGGTAAGAGACTTAGGTATCCTTTGA